CAGTGACCCCATATTGTTCTTAGTGGTTTGTTTCTGAAACTGCTTGCTTAAAGCTGAGTAATTTTATCATGTTTAATATCCACTTCAAGGTCTAGCTCCTCTTGACTTTAATTCACCTTACTCCTACCCTTCTTTAACTCTTTTGCATAGATTTCTCTGCCTGTCAGTCCTTTCCGCAATCTTTTTACATTCTGCTAATTAATTACGTGGCTATTCATCCAGTTAGATTATTTCTACAATGTTTCTTTCTTTGTTCTGGATATTAATGCCGGATAGTGTTCAAACTTTTGAATAAAAAAGTTCCAGACCTTCTCCTTATTTAAGTTTCTGAGTTTCTTTGGTAGATTGATTTAATCATTCAGATCTGTACAGTATCAAGCTTTGAAATCCTCAGTTACATGCAGATTTCTTTTACTCTTGTAATTTAATTGATGTGAATCACACATCATATATTCTTCAATCAGCTCATCTAGAACATCTTCATTACTTAAATGAAAAATTATTGATGAAGTGAAAAAAACTGTCAGCTATTATCAGCAGAAATAGCCAGTACTGCTAGCATTTGTTCTCCAAGCTATTCTGAAGAAGTTAAATACTTCCATATGCAGGGCTGCCCATCCATATGGTCACAACTCCTTGTAGTACTTAAAAGCTTTAATCGTGCACAAAATTTTAAAACATAAAACGCTTTAAAAAGATCCCTTTTAGTAAGCAAATTCAACCCTACAATATCCTACAGACTCAAAAAACTAATAGAATTTTTCTATCATTATTTGATTTTGAAGTGCTTTTGATTCAAACAACATAGCTACACTAATGCTATTTCTTTCTTTCATCTGCCTCATAAATTAAGATGTAATTCTATCTTTTGTGATTTCACACCTGTTTTACCACTACATTCTTGTAATCCTTCTAACACAGAATCATAAAGGTTGGAAAAAACCTCCAAGATCATCAAGTCCAACCTTTGCCCTAATACCACCATGCCCACTAAAGCATACTGCAAGGTGCCACATCCACTCACTTTTTGAACACTTTTAGGGATGGTGAATCCACCACTTCCCCGGGGATCCTGTTTCACAACATCCTACATTTTGCTGCTCCAGCATAAAAACATTTTAATTTCTCTTTCCAGGCCATCAGTTTTTACCCAGATTTATCAAAATCCTCCTGCTGACTGTGGCACCTCAGGAGCTGCTCTGGCCTGTTGCTTTCCCCTCCAGCTGGGCCAGAAGCACTTCCCTCATCAAACCACTGGCCAGTTCCTCCCAGCCACTACCCTGCCCAGCCACAGAGGAGAGGCAGGTACCCTGGAGAGGTGGCATAACATGTCTCCCTCGGAGGTGCATCCACTGGCACAGGGATGCTAGAACAAGAACCAGCAAGGAATTCATCCCTCACGTTGCAGAAGCTGGACCAGACTGATCTGACTGTTGTCATGCAGATCGTTATTCTTCTCTTATTTTGCCCGTGTTTCCGCTCATTGCCAACTCCATTATCATTGGAAAACACTTGATTCACTTCTTCTCTTAATGAGAGATAGGTTGGGCATCCAAAAATCTCTCTATCTTACCTCCCCTTTCTTAGCTCCGGACTCATTTTGCCAATTATGCCAACTTCAGCCCCCAGAGGCAGATTACCAAAGCTATTTCCTTATTGTCAGCTTCCTCAGTATGCAGCAGTACATTTTGATCAACTGTGAGATAATCTGTGTCCATTCCACTCTGCATTGTGGTTACCTACAAATTGACTGATTCATTTGTAAATAGGCATAATTTTGTTTAAAAACCATTTGCATTTCAGGACATACTTTTATTCGAGGCTCATTCCTCCACCTTCTGTACTGATCTGTACATTACTTGGGGTTTTTGTGCTATAAAAGTAATGAGAAAAAATGCTTTATTAACTAGATCATACTTTTAAATATGTTGCATAACCAGAGGATTACTGAAACCTTTTTTCTTCAGGGTTTAAGTTTATAACTACTGTGTTTGTTTTTATTGTTTCCTTTCACCTCCTTTCCTTACTCCTATCAGGCATGCTTCTGTGTTCCAGCATGTATGTAAAATTAAGGATAAAGTTAAAAAAGCATCCTCATACCAGCAGCATATCTTCATGGGAACCTTCAGCTAACTTGTTGTCTTGTGAATAAACTACATTGGTTCTTCTAGAGCATAGGAATCATGCATCTTCTTGGGGAATGCTCCTAAAGCCCTCAAAAGGCACACAGATATCAAAGGAGATTTGCTCCAATCTATTCAATGACTCTATCAGCAGAGGACATGGCTGAAGGCAAGAATGGCCTTGCTGTGCTCCAGTACTATATTCAAAATACTTGTGTGTTGCAATATCAGCACAGGTTTCAGACAGAATCCATACAGCTCATAGGAAACTGTATTCGAGATTTTTGGCAGAGTGGGAACCAAATCAAAGTCTCCCACATCTTATATCATTCCTCCTGAAGGCTTGAATGGCTTTCTGAAACAGAGATGCAAATTCATGTGAAGGCACTGCTAAACTATTCCAACTTGCTAAAGAGCTGAAGTAATTCCCAGCTGGTTCAAAACCAGATGAGTTTATCACTAAGATCCTTTCCCCTACACTCAGCTATTGAGTGTGGCATTAGAGTTTGCCCATTTAAGAGGCAGTCTCAAAGAAGCAAGAATCGTTAAACTGGAGTTTCCTCTCAAGCAAACCCAAAGGTGCTCTCAGAGATGCAGTACATGGAAAAAAAACCCTTTCCAATAGTTGTGTTCTATTCATTGCTGGTTTTCTCATGTATATCACATGAGAACAAGAAAAATTTAAAATTCTAGTCAGTTTTACTAGTTCCATGTACAGTTTAGAAATGTGAACAATTTGATAGTATAAATAATTAAGTCAGTTTAAAGAGGAATTCTTACAGAATACCAATTCAACTACAACAGCATATGTAGCCACAGGCTGAAAAATGCAGTCTATCAGCTAGTCATTTGCTCTCTTAAATGATATGGCACAGAAAAAACCCTATTATTCTATTAAGGCTTCAGAAGTTCAATAAAGCCAAAAGTAGCATGCAGCTTTGCTTTGCAGATAAGGAAAGCACAGTTATAAACTTAAAGTGTAAAGGAACTGACTTCTCTGATTTCAAAACTTTTTCAGAGTATGGAGTAAGTTAAGTGTAAATATTGTACTACACACCTCCTGAGTTCTCCCATATTCCTTCCACTTTTTAAAGTCTATAGCATCCTTCTAGCAATTACTTACCATAAAGATGAATAAAGAAGAGAAATTTAATGTATTTAAGCTTTCATCTAATATGACAGGGATTTAATTCATAGGAGATTGGGAGATACACCTACTCTTCCCTGCAGTTTCATCTTGCCTAACAGCTTTTCTCTGTCTCTCAGTGGTAAACAAGTGCCAATGATGTCTAACTACAGAGCTCACTGTAATGCACCAGAACACAGCATTTCAATGCCACAGTCCATCCACAAACCTAATTTTAAACAGAAGTTCTCTTGCAAATCCAGTGAGTCAACATCTTAAGTGCATTATCACATCATTCCTAAGTGAAAAGTCAGTCAAATTTAATAGGGACCTAATTAATCCCATTGTTTCCCCTCTAAGACACAGATCAATCCAGTCCTTTCCATATTCTCACAAAAGAGAAGACTGCAGGAAGCAGTGACTGCTTGTGTTGCTACTGTAAATCACACCTGCTGGAATAGTTCCTTCCTATCTGATCTAGAGCTGCAGTCTGACCACACTGTCCAAAGTCACTGTGTCTTAAGTTACATCATGATATAAAGTCTTGGAATTTAAATGCTTCTTCTGCTATTCTTTTCTAGAATTTGGCAATGGCTCTTGTCTGTATTTTGAGATAAATACTTCTCAGTTTTGAAGAAAAAGAGTCACCAAAATTGAACACAGTGCAAACACACTAAGACATGCTAAGAGGAAATAAAATTAAAAAAAACAAACAAAAAAAAAAACCCCAAATAAAAACAAAAAAACGCCACCCAAAATCAGCACTACTAAATTAATGAAGTCTACTGTCCTGTGTGCTCATGCCGCACCTCACTCACACATTCACTATATAGCATTCCCACCAGATATATCACATGCCTTAGCTAATCCCAAGCACAACATGCACTAGTGAGAGAACAGACAGTAGTTGGCTTGCTGCTTTTCATGTGTTCTGAGCACAGGAAAATAAATACTGTCACATACTCATCCACTAGGAGCAACTGGTATTTTTATATCATAAAGATATTTTGTGGGGGGTTAAATATAAAATTAGGGAATACAAGTAGAACAATTGTCTACTACACTACCAGTTTCCTACGTATGTCTGCTATCAGGAAAATTTTGAGGTTTCCCAAGAAATTTTGCCTAAGTAAGGGGTAAGAGATCAGGCCACAATGTAAAAACATTCATTCTTCCATAAGTCTATTTCAGCTCTTTTGGGGGTTTTGGAAACTCTTTTAATGGTGTTGAAACTATTTTGAGCTATTTAGCAACTTTATAACAAATTAAGTTAGGAGAGAAGAAGAAGTCAAGGAGAGGAAAAATCTTCTTAGACCAACTGCCAAGTTTTCACACAAAGGCTTTTCCACATATTAATATCTGCTAAGGAAACTATCCTAAAATGTTGTAAACACATGTGTTTTCATTCTAGGCTTGATGTCTATGCCAGGCAGGTTCAGTGCTCACAAGGTACCTTAATATTACTCTTTTGTAATTTTTAATTATTCATAAGTCTGCTTCCCTGTCCAATCAAATTGTCTGACAACATACATTGTTCTTTTGGTCAATTTTGAGTCTCACCAGTTTTCAGATTTTTAAAACCACCTCCACTATTAGTCAAAATGCATCATTTGTTTGCAAGGATCTAACAACAGCTCTTCATACCCTGAGAACAGTCTTCGCCTTATGGATTGTGGGGAAAAAAAAAAAATCAATTACAGTCTGTGTAAATGACAAGAGAGGTATCCATGAAGTAAATTCAGAATTTATACCTGAAGACACTGCAGGCACCCTGTCAGGCTGCGTGGATTTTCTTCCAACTCTGGCAGACTGTAATTGTTTACTTAACCTGGATATTGATTGTAGTTAGACTGCTGGCTCACTTCCTTCGGCTGCAATTCTCATTTTGGCAGTTTCACATACATCACTTAAAATTCCTCTCTGCAGCAATGCTGTTCACATTCTTAACTCTGGGTCATAATCTACTAAACATGACTACATTTTTAGTTCTGCATTATGATGATGGGATTTTTCTCACATTTTCTGATCGCTGTAGAACAAAAAGTGGAAGTTTTTAGTAAGAATGACCTTGAATCACTGCCCTTTACAATTAGTATTATAGTTTTATGGAAGAGCACAGATAAAAGTGAGAGATTCTGTGGCAGTGTAGCTGTAGAATACATTTTCCATGTTTTATGAATGACTATATACATATCACTTTCTATCAATTAGTATTAAAATAATAATTAGGTCTCATGTAGATCCAAATTTTATGTCAATAGTTCAGATGTGGCTTTGAGGACTAAAAAAAAATCTTTTATATGAAAACTTTCTTAATAGTCATTCTGGTAGTAATAAACTACGGCAAGAGGCACACGAAGTTGCTGTCTGAAAAAATAAACAAAACTATTAAAACATAATGACTATGAAGTGTTAATTCAGTCACGATGTGTCTTGTCTCCTGTATTGGTTTAAGTAGGCTCATCTACTATAAACCTACTTAGGCTCACCTACTACAAAGCTTTTAGGGTCACTAATGTGTTCATGTGTGAACATGAAAGATTGCTAAATCCTTATAAAGCAACTCTGTAAAGGCGAATAAACCTTGAAATAACGGCAGATCCCATTCCTAAAAGGGCAAACAATGATCACAGAGTCATTACACTGCACCAGCTGAAATACAGAATTCTTCAATTTAACTGGTTTATAAAGAGACATCTGTAAAGAGATAACATTCATATAAGTCACTGTCATTTCTTTTCAGTTATTTAACAAACAGGACAATGACACCTGGTCATTGATAAACAGGATAACTTGACATCCAGTATTATCTGTTTCTCTTTATCTAAAGCTGAATTCCAAATTAGGCATCAGGAAAATTAAAAATAGAAAGAACTCATATTCATATATCAAATTAATTCAATAAGCCTCTATAGATATGTTAAATATTAACATATTTTTGCATACTTTTGGACTAGGAGATACTCTAATATTTCAGGCCCTGAAGTACAGATTGCTAAATATATCATTCATCAAAAAACAAGAACAGAAGCATTTTTGGAAACACGAAACCATTCCTTCAGTAGAAAAGACAGTGCTAAATTAGAATAGATGGACTCTATCTGACAACAGTGCAAAGTATTAACCCCCCCTCAAAAAAAAAATCAATGCTTTCATAACTAATGAAGCTTGGGAACTGTTTTTAGATATTGTAAAAAATATGAAACCCAAAAGTGCTTCACTTGGAATATTTTCATGTCTAAAATTTGGCAGAGTCACATAACTTTAAAGGATAGCACATCTCCAGATATCGATCAGGGCTTTGTACAGCTACAATGCCATAAAAATGATCTGCAGCTATAAAAGAGATAACATGATTATGAGTACACTACATTGTAATTTCCTTTGGGTAGTCAGAAAGGAAAGACAGTCTGATAGTCTCTGAGAAAAATAAGCTTGGAGGATATCCACTGTCTGACAGAAAAATCATTTTACAATATTCCAACTAAAGCACCTTCCCAACTTAAATAACAACAACAACAAAAATAACACTAGAGCTTAACAATTACCTTTCAACCAAAACACAACAGGCAGCTGCAAAGCTAAGCAGCTCGCAATGTATCTGAGAGTTTTAATGTTCCAAATTCCTTGTGAGTTCAGGCATGGAACATAGATAGTTAACCTTATTTTGAGCCATTAGATGGAGCTTACTAGAAAGCTTGCTCTAATAAATGGTATGATATGAAGGTCAGCCCTTAATTTACCATCAAAATATCTTCTAGATGTAAACATAATGACTTCTGCTTATGCACTACACAACCCTGACAAGAATGCTACTTGACAATCCATTTCAGATCTAGAAAAACGTTCTCATTTGCGTCAAGGTGCCGAATGTCAGCAGATTCACTAATACGCTTATTTGCACTGCAGTGGTGGAACAGAGGAAAACACCATGAGCCTCCATACCCTGCCGCTGCCTGGCTAGGGAGCTGGTGAAATAAAATAAGATTTAATCCTGTCCATATCACTGTGCAGTTGGTGAAACTTGACAAAGCAACATTAAGTATTCAAAGTGGTATTGTGGTCTAAAGGGATCGCATGCAGCCTGCACATGAGAGCAAAGGAATAACTTGGTTCTGCTTCGGTGTTTGTAAATTTAATTTGTTCAAGGAAAAGCAACTCTGGAAGGGATTACTAGCTGGGATCAACACTCTTACCAAAGAAAAAGATAAAATGCAAGTAGGAATAATATTGACGTTTTTGCAATACGAAACAGCTTTTTGGGCTTAAGTGAATAAATAAAAGTTGGAGGCAACTGCAGCTCAACCCTGGCATATGAGAATACTGCACTCAGTGTTCCTGAGCAGGAGGGCCTGGAAAGGTTATGTATTTCATGAAGACTGTATAGGTATTTAGAAAACACCATATTTTACAAAATTTAAAATTTATTCAGCAAAATATTGTTAGTATTTTCTCAGTGTAATCACTATTTTTTAAATAAGTGGGGCAATAATATTCATGGCATAACAACATCTGATATATTGACTCTTTATTATTGACAACATCTCATTCCACAGGTTCAGGGAAGGATATCTGTGGCTAAGTGTGTAAATCCCAGGTGCTCAGGAAACACTGAGCCGGTGCACATACACACATTTAATTAAGAATAACCAAGATGCAGCAATGCACTTCTGAAATGATAGTACAAGAGAAACTTGTAAATCCCGTTTGCTAAGTGGGGCTCTGTATTTACACTACCTGCAATATCCCTGAATAGCACAATTATTCAACTGTTAAAAGTCACCTCTGGTCCTACAGCAGAAAACGAGCAACAAATTTCTGAGTCTGTAAAATGCTCCTTTTGCTAAATACTGGAGTGGAGAGGTGCAGGCAATCCCCTGGGACTTGGCATGGGAGGGAAGGTGCCCTGAAGGTACATTTGCTTACTGGGCCCTTTCCATAGAAATTAGGGACAACTGGGGTAGAGGGTGGGGAGGGCAGCTGAAAGCAACGACAGAACGGTCTCCTATTTTGTTTTAGCAGGTGTCTTTGTGATGACTAAACCTCCAAATAACTGCTAAATGCAATGCATATTTTCCTAGAGTGAAGGACAATGAAAACCTTTTCCTTGCAGATTGATACTTCAAATATAAAGCACAGAAAGATAAGCACTGCCAGCAAGGAAACTAAAAATACATCTTCTTAAGCTTGATTAATGAGCTAATAAAAAGCTATAATAAGAAAAAAATCCAATTAAAGCATCTTGTGATATTTCTCTCAAACAGAAATAAACAACCCAAGAGCATGGTAAAACTTTGAAAAATTAGTATGGATTCATATGACAGCCTTAGTATTCAAGCCTACAGTACATCAGTTTTATACTTTCTTTGACTAGCTGTCTTTTATTTATCATCTCTGATGTGTATTGCCTAGAATTCTGATCCTTGATGAGTTTTTTTTTAATCTTGTTATTGCCTCACAAGTATAACATCTGAATTTAAATACAAACATATTAAAAACTCAGGCATTATATGGGTTGAAGATACTTATTCTATTCAGAAAACTTGCAGGCCTCTGGCACAATGTGTGGTACTTGGAAACAGTGAAATAAAGGTAAACCCCCTGGAAACAAAACTCACCCGTCACCTATACAAAGTCAGAAAACAAACTAGCTACACGCATCACTGATGTACAAAGGACGGAGTAGAAAGCATAGAAAATTTATACTGTGATATTCACTCTTCATCAGTTTCTGGTACCTGAAGGTAATCAGAGGATACAAGAACAGCAAGGACACTGGAAAGGAACTGTAAAAGACATAGGTGGGAAGACCTGTAGATTTGAAGCCAGATGAGAAGCACCTGCACCACAAGGAACCCCAGCCTGCACCATGCAGCACCTGGAAGTGAGTAGCACTCAGCCAAGGGCCCCTGACAGTCTATGAGGAAGGCAGCCCACCAAAGAAACCCCAGGTTCCTCAGAGGCACAGAGCTGGGGCACAGCAAAGAGCAGCAGGGCAGGGACAGTCTACATAGGGTCGTAAAGAAGACTGAGAATCTCGTACCAGAGGCAGTTGTTATTTTAAAACTACAGAAACCGTCTGTTTTAACTTACTGAAACATCAGTGGAGTCTCCAGGATAGGTGCGTCCCATCTCCCTCTGCCGGCTGCTCCCCGCGAGAGCGACCTACTGCAGCAAAGGCTTCTGTCAGCCAAAAGGTGTAGCGAGACACTGCCCCCAGCTCCCTCTGAATTTCATTTTTTAAACAAGAATTAAAACGTCTTAGTACACATTCTCTAATTAGGCAGGCATAGTCTTTTTCTCTTTGCACAGTTCAGTGAACATTTAGCGTTTCTTTTTATCCCTTTATTTCAAGTTGTGTCTCAAGACTTCACTGAAGAGCATGAAATATCAAATGAATTTCCTCATCAACTGCCAGGAGTGTTTCACGAATACTTTTCAAAATACTTTCGTTTGAAGAAGGGGTTTGCGTTTTCTTATTTGACAGCAAGGGAACCAAGATACACAAAGACTATATTGTATCTGCCTGCTTCAGCACCCGCCCAGGATTCCTGAAACTTACATTAACAACAAAGTTGACTTCAGATACTTCAGGCGGCGCCTGTAAAGACGTGCCTTGTTCTACACTGAACCAAGTGTGCCTGGGTGACGTGCCCGACACCGCAGCGGAGCTCCCGTGTGTCCAGCGCAGAATCCAGTCGCCCAGGGAAGCACCGAAACCCCTGCAAGTCAGACCAGCGTCCACCTCACTCCACCTCCCTACTCGTCCCTGGCTCCTGCAGGGAGTAACGCCGGCCATTACTTCCATTTCAATACTTCGAAATTCCGCAATTCTGATGGTTTTACTTAAGAAAAAAAAAGGGAACAGTTTTACTGGTTTAAAATGTTTGGCGTCTCTCTTCGCGCTCCTTTTCTGATGTAATGTGTTGTCAACTTGTTCTCACAAGCACATCCCTGACGCCAAAGCAGTCCCTGGCCCCAGCACCAGGAAGCACACCTGGCCCCAGGGCGAAGGGGCAGGCGAGCCTCCAGCTACAACGACAGACCGGCTGCCCCAGGCGTGACAGAGGCGACGGGCAAGGCGCGTTCGCGGGCTGCTGCTCCCATGGCGGGCCCTGGGCGTCTACCAGGAAGGGAGAGACCAGCCTGGAGAAGGCAGAAAAGCCTGGGTACGTCCCTGCCGGGCGCCCGGAGCTCCCGAGGACAGAGCGGGCGGCTGCCCGGCCGCACGGAGCTCTCCAGCCCGAGGCACTGCACACACTTGTTCCAGCGGCCCCGGCCAGCAAGCGGCCACGCTCCCCACGACCGCCCCGCGGGGGGCTCGCCCACGACCGCCCCGCGGGGGGCTCGCCCACGACCGCCCCGCGGGGGGCTCGCCCACGACCGCCCCGCGGGGGGCTCGCCCACGACCGCCCCGCGGGGGGCTCGCCCAAGGCCGCTGGCCCCGGCCCGCCCAGTCCCCGCCACGCCAGGGGCGGCCCGGGCAGGGGCCCCGCGCCTCCAGGAACACGCCCGTGGGTGTTGGGCCGCCCCGTCCCGCCTCCGCAGAGGTCGCAGCCGCAGTCCCGCCGTCGGGGCCCGCCGGCAGACAGTGCACCTCCCAGCCCGGACCGGCACTCCCGGCACCCGCAGCCCCCGCTCCCTCCCAGCCCGGGCCGGCAACGCGGCCCGCCCGCCGCCGCTTCCACTCCTGCGCACTGGGCGCGCCCCCCAGGCGGGCCGGGGCCGGGGGCGGGCCGCGGGCGGGGGAGCGGCGGGCGGCCAATTGCGGCCCCGCGGGGAGCGGCTGCGGCGGGGCCGCCGCCCGTGCTCGCAGGGCAGGATGGAGGCGGAGGGCCGGGCACCGGGGTCGCCGCTCCTCGCCGGCGGGGAAGGGCCCGGGGCCGACTCGCGCCCCGCTGCGGGTGCCCCCGGCACGGCCCGGGGGCCGCTGATCGCCGCCGCCGAGGTGCTGGCGCTGGACGATGAGGAGGACGACCTGGAGGTGTTCAGCAAGGTACGGCAGCGCCCTCCGCGGGTCGGGCCGTGCCGCGCCGGGGCGGCCGGGCGGACGGGCTGGCCAGCACTTTGCCCCGGCGGGCACCGAGCGAGCCGGGCCGGGCCGGCTCCGCCCCGAGCGGGATCGCGGCCTCTGCCCGCCTGCCCCGCGGCCGGCCGGCAGCCCGCGCTCCCCGCGCCCGGGGAGCGCAGGGCAGGGCTGGTCCGGCCGCCCCCGGGGCTCCGCTGCGAGGGCTGGGCTGCCCGGGGCGCGGGGCTGCCTGGGGACAGCGCTCGGCGGCCAAGGAGCCCCGGGCGAGTTCCCCGGCACGAAAGGCAGGTTCGCTGCTTCGGACCAGCAGCGAAGTCATGACTGCCCTTACCTTAAATGTGTCGTGTAATCTGGACTCGCTGTAACCTTATCATCACTTACGTTCGTTATGTACCATATATGTATCTGTAAATTAAATAAACACTCGTGTTTAGTAATTGCAGTAGTGTTTAAATAAATGTTTGCAAGTTTCAGTTTGAGTTTTCTTTTGAAAGATGAAGTCTCCCACCTTTACATAGGAGGCTTGAGAAGTTAACATCTGTATTTTGATGAAGGGAATAAAATAAATGTAACTGAAATGTATTAGGGTCCATGTTCAGAAACCACACAGTTAGCTAGGTACATGGGTGCCAGTCTTGCCAATATTGCCGATTTTAATTAAATAAATGAAGTGTGGTATGGCTACTATGTATATTATTTTTCATTTTGTACTGATTTGGTTAAGATTAGACTTACCTCTTGCCTTCTCGGCAGTTAAAGAAGACAACATCTCATGGATCTATTTGCCTTATCAAGGCAGCATCTAAAATATAAAGACATACAGAGAGCTATGGTGGAAAAAATATATACAGAGGCTAAGGTGCTGTTCACCCTCTGAGGCTTGTGAACTGCTGTGTGACAGGATGTGTGCCATGGGAGAGAAACAGCAAATACATTTCTGATTTGAAAAAGCAAGAACATACATATATTCAGTAGGACTGGTTGTCATATGGATTAAATGTGTGGTTTTTTATATTTCTGTAGGCAAGATACATTGTTGTGGTATGCATGAATGAAACCATTGGAATAAGGACTTCCTTCTTAGAAGCTATGTATTTAAACTTTGACTCTAGTAGAATTCTTGAAACTCATGGCTTTTAAGGCCAGAAGGAACTATTAGGTCATTTAATAGTTTGTAACATGAAAGACATCAGGCTAAATTTCAACAAGTTATCTGTGTTTTTCTGAAGCATAACTAGGGTCTAGCTGAAATATGTTCTTCTAGGAAAGCACCGGCCCTGGCTTGACATAAAGCAATGAATGATTCACTGAACTTGCATGCAAAAGCAGTGCTAAAATATAATTTTAGTTGTTTGTGCTCACTTTGAATCCTTTTGCTTTTATGAGGTAAGGTCAGGCAGTTCTGCATGAAGGTATCTGCCTACTAACACAGTGTATCAACAGTTATGCTGCTTGCTTGTCAAGAGCTGTTCCCCTTGGGAATAAAAAATAAAAAGTGGAGTTGATAAAAGTTACTGCTGCTATTGGCAAATACCTATATCTTTAAATTTCTACTTGGCTTCATGACAAATATTTCTTACTTATATGAAATCTTTAGTGCTATTAATGCATGCTACATGATAAGTTATTCCCCACAAACAAGAAAAAATGTCATATTATGTTAAAATATGGCCTTCTTTCCAAAGCTTCGACACCTGCCTGTAGTGTATATATAGACCAGAAATCCCTGGTTTGTTTTCAGGTGTAATTTGAGGGCTGATCTTCTGAGCTTATGAAAATCTGTGAGGTTGTTTAGGCTTTACATCCTATTTGTTCATGTTCCATATATTCAAGGGAAACTGACAGGCTAAATGTAGCTTCCAATTAAGTGTTGTAAAACCAATTTTTCTGTAACATACTGTTCCAAGACTACTTTGATTTAAATTGTACCTTAATGGGGTTCCTTATGCCAGTGTCTGTAAGGTAGTGGTTTAGCATTTGCAGGCCAAGCGGGATGGCAATGGCAGTGCAGAGCTCGGTACCTGCCACTGCCATCGACTTCATCTTTGTCAGTTTAGTCCGTGCAGTGTGCCATCTACCAAAATGGTGAAAAATGAGATTCTTAAAAATTGTCAACCTCAATACCCTAAGTTATTACTCAAAATGTAAATACTGGGCTTTTTAATCTATGAAAATCCATAGACATTTAACCTGATAGTGTCATAAGCCATTGGCCTGGTATCCTGTGACATATCTCAAATACTACAGACCAGTATCTTCTTCGGCAGCTCTGATAAACCATTTCATGATGTGGTGTGCATTTCACTTTATCCTAGTTTTCACTACCATTGAAAAAGTTCTGACTTCTTTTCAGCAGAGACAAATTCTAGGAGTTGAGTTATGAGTCACACAGGTACAATGTTTCAACCTGCTTTCTTCCATGAGTTTGGAAGTATGGAGTACTGCGTGTATTGCAATACCCATTCAGGTATCCTTTGCCTTCCTTGTTAAGTGACACCTAGCACTGGGAAAGCTTCATATGGTTGCAAGCTCTGGATCCTTACTGGGAGGTAGGGATGGATGGATGAGGCATGGAGGCAAACCTGAGTCAAGGGCCTGTGCTCTGGGAAAGAGTGTTTAGGCAAACCCCCAGGCTTAATGTCTTCTACAAAGAGCTGCAGTCTCAGCTGTGTGCTCTTTTTTGAGGCCACTCTTGCTGTGTGAGTGTTTTCCTTCCCTTATTTATTTTAGAGTCTTACTGACCAACTGCAGTCAAATGTGAGAGTGAGATAGGGTAACTGCAAGTATTAGAGAAAGGAGAGCCAGAATAAGGCCCTCATACTGCCAGGAGCTCGTTGGTCTCTTGGCCAGTAAATCAAAAGGCCTGACTCGCACACACAGCTCTGCCAACTGCTCTGTCAGGAGTGAAAGGGCTTGGAAGGAGAAGGGACACTCAGGTAAGTGGGGCTAGGGAAGGCATGGGAAAGGACATAATTTTCTGGGACAGGGCCTTGATGCTTTTTGCATGGATGAAGAGGAAAAAGGTTTCACAACACAAGAGCTGGAAGAATTGTGTTTTTCCTGTGCCGCAAAACTCCTTCTGCCCTCATCTGTATGCACACAAAAACATAGTTCCAACCACAAAATTACAGCTGTATAGAAAATTATCATCTTTTTTTAACTGTGTTTCTGTGATGACATCAGACTTAGTTTGCATGAACTTCAAGAACTACTGTAAGTAAACCTGAAGTATCATGAGGATGAAACTTGTTTAAAACTCACATGCATTCATTCATGTGCACATGACTGTATTAAACAAATCTGAAGACCTGCTTATTCTATGGATTTTTATACCTATGTTTTGTTTCACAAACCAAATATTCATCAGCCTTTCCACATAAAAATATACTTTCAGAAACCTGCATGTATAGAGAAAGTTTTAGTAGCAACCTACAAGAAAGAATGAAACATTAAGATATTAATGCCCCATGGAAAATGAGAAAATATGAAACACATTTACCTTGATCCAGTTTAGGCCTTGCAGAGTCATTAGTCCTCAAGTTATATGGCCATTCAAGTCCCTTACACGCTCACATGCATCTTTCTTTCCCTGGAAATTTCCCGTTGTCTCAGCGCTTTGAATCACATGGGCTGCTCTGAACTAGCAGTCCTCATTCTTCATCTAGAGTGTGGCCAGCCAGTGCTAGCGGGCTCTGAAAACAGCTTCTCTGTTTATTCTCCACCACTCAGGACAGTGCTAACTGGATACCAGTATAGAAATCACGTGTAGAAACACACTGAATAAAAGTAAAATGACTGACAGGTGTACAAGGAAGCCACTATATAATATTTAAAGTCTTGTCTTTAGTCTTCCGTGTTGCTTTTGTCTCCCTGTTCAAAGAACTGGTACATAAGTGCTTTCTGGGCATAATTCCCAGTATAAATTTCTCCTCCATATTTGTGGGAGTACATTGATAAATCCAAAGAAGAGGGATGGCAGTAGGCAATGAGCTTAAGGCAGGAAAAGAGCAAGATACCATGTTCCAGAGAAAGTTTTGATCTAGTTGAATTCAAAGGGAAAAAGGAACTCTCCCCAGCTCAGCAGCACTATGGTGGTGTGCTCTTCACTCCCATGAGAGCAGCCTTGGGATGATGCCGTGACTCCAGTTTGTGTGGACTCACACATTTCAAACCTGGCATTCAAGCAGTTTTCTCTTTAACTACATCCCTTTCCTCCTTCCTCCATAGTTAACAAGGCACTGGAAAGGGCAACTCTTTCTTAGTGTAGTCTAACTATGCTTTTAGAAAACTTCTAGAAAGTAGATTAATTTTCAAGTTTGTTATGAAAATACTTCATTGCATTGCATATATTACAAAAAAGTATACAGTATTTGCTATTTAAAATATAGTGATTTCTTTCAATTGCTCTAATTTATTATTTCCAATGGTTTAATAATTTGTTATGCTCTTTCATGGAGTTAGTGATTTCAATTTATTTTCCTAGTAACTGTACCTTTCAAGATTTTAGATTACTAGATCTCATCCAGACTTGCATCTAAGGAAGCAAATGAGATTTCTTGCTTGTTTCCAATTTACACTCCATTTCTCATCACTTGAGTGGTCACCATTGAATGCACTGAGCAGAAGCAGCTGCTATGGGGTCATATTCTTAGAGAGCTGTGTGGAAGTGGTTGATGCTATTAAAAAGTGGATTTCCTCTTCAGCAAAATAGTGGTTTGACTTTTTTTTTTTTTTTTAGAAATTAAGCAGCAAATTTTTACTTCATCCTTACTTACTGTTTTCCTTTAGAAAAAAGAAAAAGATTCATTTATGTATCTGTAATTGTTTTCCATTTCAAATTTTATTTTAAAATACATGCAAACTGAAATATCCAATTACAATAAAAATTCTGATTCTGATTTTGTCTTGTTTTCTTTTAAATCATTGGGTTTTTATCTACCCTGTTCAGGTTATTAGAGATAATTCAAACATCATAAGTCCTCAGCAACTGGCTTTTAACATTTTAATAAAGCTGGTAAGTATTCTACACAATGGGTGCTTGGATTCATAACTAATTTTATCATTCATAGGCAAGTTTTCTTTGCATAACATTCTTCTCAAATGGTAGTATTTTGCTCTTTCAACAGTTTTAGAATAAATCTCATTTCTTACATCCTCACTGAAGTACATACTGAAAAGGATAATAGATTTTCTAGGTACTATATAATTCTTTCATCTGCTCTATATTATATCTGTTCTATCAGATTATTTAAAAGCTTGCCATTTTAGCATCTGAGACATATGTGTTTGTATACAAAGATGTATTGATATGAATATTCTCATGTCTTATCTGTAGGATACATCTCTGGCTGAGGTAAACTCATTCAGTCCTTCAATGCCAATATCCCCCTCATCAATGATAAACCAATATAAATTTGAAGATGGACCAGAATTAAGAGATCTCTTCATTACAGTCGATGATCCTGAAAGCCACATTACAGCCATTGAAACATTTATTACATACAGAGTAGTCACAAAGGTAAGCATCTATTCATGGCTGTAATGGCTTACTTTGATAACACCAGTAGCATTTTTACTCTTCTTGCATACCATTCTCTGTGATATTACTAAATTTAAATTGTACTCTGATTTTACCATGAGTTACAGACAACTAAAACTGTATGAAACTGTGGTAGATTCTGGAAAAAAAATCAGTGTAAGTCTGCATAGGTGCTTACCTGCAGAGGTGCTTACATTATTTATATTGAGAAAATAGTTAATAAACCTTCAATAGCAAAATGAGTGCTATGTGAGAATAACATTTTCTGTTGTGATCTTCAGCAGGAACATGAAACAGCAGAAGGACAGATTCAGTTTGAAAACACTATATTGGCACAAGTATTTATGACTTTTGGATCACTTGCAGCCTATGGGTCTTTTGCCTGGCATAAATGTTACCTGCTACAGTCTTTCAATTCCATTCTTTTCTAATTGCATCCATTATCACATGGTTGTTTGTTTCCCATTTACAGTTGCATGTGATTTCTGGGGAAACTGCCACAATTCTCTAATGAAAAAGTAATGCTGGGAGACAATGAAGTGTATTTTTAGTTGTCCTAAATGCAAGTTATTTACAGGAAATAAGCCTTATGAGTCCAGCCAGGTCTTCTGAGATTACCAGCAAATAATCTGCAGGCTGCATTTTGAGAATTGCATTGTTAATTTATTTTACTTTGAGTTCTTTTTAAAAGATTCATTTAAAACCAAATTTTCAAATGGGAATTATTCATCTTTAAATAAGAGGAGATATCAATTCCTCATAAAATATTTAAAGAGTAGGAAGAGAGCTATCTTCATTAAGTTGCTAGCAATAATTTTCCCTTTATGCATGTTTCTGTAGACTAGAGAACATTTTTTCTTCAGGCAAGTATGGATTGGCCATAAGATAGATTGCTTTTGCCTTTTTTTATCTCTTCTGTCCTTTCTTATCATATTTAATTTGGAGTACTGGCTGTTGATGATAAAGTAATAGCATTCCTCCCACATACCTTGAAAAATTTTTATTCAACAAAAATGTTTAGATTACAAAAGCATGTTTTGACGTTTTTAGAATTTACTTGCATCGCATTATAAATCTCTGTGCAACAATGAATGCTAAATAGCACGTATTAACGAAAACATGGGCTCTTCGTGGCTTGCCTCTAGAAGACAGAGCAGTGATAAAATAAATCTCATGGTCTGACAATTTTGTAACTCTGTAATAAGCATTTTTTGTAGACATTAAAGGTTTGTTGGCAAGTTCTAACAAAGGGCTACAAAGCTGGAATTGATGATGGGATGCAGAATCCATTAAGCAGTGCAAGAAGTGTTATTGCTGTAATATTCTGAAGTTTTCATGTTTTGAACATGGGGATTGTTGATTAGTGTCAGCAGGTCCCAAGGATGTGTGTCAGGTCTTTGGGGTTTGTTCAGAATGCTAAAAAATGGACTTTCTTCATTAATAGATTACTAATCACTTTAAAAGAAGTGCCCTAGAAGTAATGAACATAACTGGGATTGCTAAAAGGAAAATGCAACACTAAAATAATTATTGAAATATTTTGGAAACATTTTGGTAGGACAATTATTATGTCACTGCATGAAGTGCAGTTAAAAGCTTGCTTTTTTCCTTTTTTCCCCAGTAGAACTTTGATTTCTTGCTAAAACACGATGTGTTTTAACTCTTCAAGGAGTTGATCATTGTACTTTAAAATAACAGCAAACAAATAACAGGGGCAAAATAGAATCATGTTGCATTCCCTTCAAGTACTCAGTTTTCTCCAAAATCTAAACCTGCATTGTTCTTTTCTTTTTCTGGTATTGTAACCTAAGCCTGTTGTTTCTGCCCCTGTTTTTCAGACATCCCGTGGTGAATTTGACTCCAGTGAATATGAAGTTCGAAGACGATACCAGGATTTCCTTTGGTTGAAGAGCAAACTTGAAGAAGCACATCCGACACTGATTATTCCTGTTTGTTTGTTTTTATTTGTTTATAAGATAGCTCCAGTTTTATACAGAGATGTTTGAGGTCTTTTTGCAACTTCTGAAGTCTCGCAAACATTAAGCCAACCTATTTTCATTAGCTTTATATGCATGTGATAATTAAAAATCACATAAAGGTATTTATTAGGTTTTTCATGGTGCCATTTGCAATAATTTATGTCCTCCTTTCTTAGTTGCATTTGTGTTCTTCTGCACTGTGTGTTACAAGAACCATATTATTACAAGAACCATGTTATACTTTAGTTGAATATGATAACTTTATATAGCTTTTGGGTTTTTGCATGATAGATTTTACAAGGTATACCTATTTTTTTATTAAGTAGAAGAACTACTGTAATAACCCTAATATTATGCAAATTGTACAATATTATTCTTCTTTTTTCCTTAGCCATTGCCTGAAAAATTCATAATGAAGGGCATGGTGGAACGATTTAGTGATGAATTCATTGAGACTCGAAGAAAAGCTTTACATAAATTTTTGAACCGTATTGCTGATCATCCAACTTTAACTTTTAATGAAGACTTCAAAATTTTTCTTACTGCACAAGCCTGGGTAAAATTACTTTGTTTTTATCTACAGTTATGTGAAACCACCTCTTGTGTTAGTAGAGTGTATCAAGAGTCGCCCTGGCTCAGTATTCAATAGTGTCATTCCATGGCTTGTTACAGAAGTGTTAGAAGAAGGCAGGGATTTATGGAATATACATACCTCAAGATAACCTTTTCTTCTGTGGTTTTGGTAATCATGTATGTGATCATAAATATTGCTGTACCTTCCAAAGTAGTTTTTGTTACTGCATTCTGGATTTTTTTGTGGCAATTTCACAGTATGTCAAGTCTGCATGCTTTTTGGTACACATATAAGCTTCCAAGATTATGAGGAAAATAGTGTTTTTAATTAATTATTGGTTTGGCATGGCACTGTCTTTTTCATCTCTTTGTTGTTTTTTTTTTAAAGTTATACTGGTCTCATAAAAGAATTTCCTGTTGCATTGTTGCAAGATGTCACCAGTTGCAAACTGGAGTTTTGTACTCAGCAAAGCCTGCCTCTGAACTTCAGCAAAGGTTATTCTAGCAACATTTAAAAAGAGAGAAAAAAAAAAAATAGGTGGATTACTTCCTCCAGTGGGAACATTGTCTGCTTTTCTCAATTACTTATTTCTGCAATCATTACCTCTGCTTTCCTGTTCAAAAAGCTAAACTGGAAACTAGTTAACTCACCCTGAGGAATGAAGGGATAAAGGTTCTCTGCCATCTTTAACTGTTCTTGTGGAGTGTGATACATGGCATGCTTGTGTTTGCTCAGAAAGGCTTGGCTCATAAATGCACATGACAGGTACAACTCTGACACTTGTCTAATAATTATAACATAAGATTTGTACACTAAAAAGACACAGAGAGGCTTATGTACGTAGTTTTATTAAAAAAAAAGAAAAAAGCTTTATGAATTATTTTCAGAGAATTAAAAAAAGTACTTGAAAGTAAACAGAGCTTATTCTGTCTTTAGGAACTCTCATCACACAAGAAGCAGGGTCCCGGTTTGCTGAGCAGGATGGGACAAACCGTCAGAGCTGTAGCATCCTCAGTAAGAGGAGCAGTTAAAAATCGTCCTGGAATGTTTACAGAAATCAACAATTACATGGGAACATTTAGTCAGAAAATAAACTTACTAGATAAAATAGCTCATAGGATTTACAAGGAAGAAAGGGGTAAGTAGAAAACAAGTATCATTTTTATTGATTTAAGAAATTAATATATTGGAAAAGTAAATTAGTTTTTATCCTGCCAGGCAAAATGCTCTTTCCAGCAAGGAAGGAAAAAGGGAGATTTATGTTTATACTGTGGTTTTCTTAATGGTTATAGTTTTGACAGATCTTCCAGTTAGTTTTCATAAGTTCTTAATAGGAATAGTTTTAACATGTCATTCAGCTGCTTATGAGGAACTTTGAAGACAATGTAGTAAGTGTGGCTGTCTTTTTACCTGTGCTTTTTGGAAAACTGAATGACCTTTTGTTTTTTACTTTCAGGGCAATCTCATGCTGACATAATGCTATCTAGATTCCAGATCTTTAAACATCTCTTTTTTTGGTTTCATTCTTCACCTTTTTTCTCTTTTGACTAAGTAGATTTTTTTTTTTAATAGCTTTACTGTTGGGCACAATTTCTGTCATGGTAAGCTGTGTCTATTAAGAGTTTTCTTAAGAAGAATGACTTGACCTTATTTTTTTCCTTAAGTAACAGCAGTTTGCACACCTACGTGGAATGCTAAGTGATTGACTTTTCTGAGATTCTGAAATTACTCTGATCTCAGACTATGCCTGTTCAGTAGAATTTCCACTGGGCAGCACTTGAGGTATTTTCTTGTCTATATAATTTGAAAAGCTGCACTGTGTTCCTTAATAACTGAGCCCTCGTGCTTTATTGTGCAGCACCAGATCTCAGCATGTCCTCACTGAATTGGAAGGATCTTATAAAAGGAAAATACATGTTGGTGAAAAGAGTTCCTTTTGATATTGTTCCTTTCAATGGAAATAGCTGAGGTCTGTAGGTTCAAGGCATCAGTATCAAATTCTTGGAAAACCTTAATAATTTTGACATGCTTCCAAATGCTGTAGTTATATCTTCTTCCCATATTTTCTAAACAGCACGTCAGAACACTTATGTGCAGGGCTGCACTGTTGTGGATCGGAACTGTTGATAGCTGCAATGCAGACAACATTCCTGCTTGCAGTACCTTGATGTGGGATTCTTGATTACATCTTCCACAGAGGTTTTTTTGTCCAATTAGTCTCAAAGTAAACATTACACTCTTCATACCACACAACTGCTTTCATCTTTTCTAGGACATTTCTTTTTTTGATACATGACCAGTGCGTTCCTCCTGTGAACATGCAGCTTCCTGGTCATATGGAGCCTTGCCCACGTTTAGCCCTACCAAGTGGCACAGTGAATTCTGGGCCCTCTCTCTCTGCTTACAGATTATCACTTGGTCTAGAGACATAAGAGAAGTAATTTGTTGGATATCCCTGTATTTAAATTATTAAAAACTACTGAAGGACATAACACCTGGAGAACTGGTGGGAACTTTAGTGTTTCTTTTGAAGCTTTTGGGACATAACAAAGCTTCTAGTTTTAATAACCGAGACAGGATTTGGAACATTACTGTTTCAAGCAGCAGAGGAATTCAGGATAGTAGACCCAAATCAGACCAACTGCTGCCCACGGCTGCTCATGGCTCCTGTCGCTCTATATGAAGATAATGTGAAGCAATGCAGGTCATTAATGCAGGGTGTCTGAGTACAACTCTTCAGGTCTGCCTGAGTACGTGTGTCCTTTTGAAACGACTGGGGCATTTTTGCTGATAGATTTCTTGAAACTACTTAATTACAATACGTTAATTGATTAGTTTATTCATAAACAATGAACCAGAGTTTACTTACCTTGGTCATTTGAGCAAATTTAAACACTAGCCTCAGCCTCTTGGTTTGTTCACAGTAAATACGAGGTTGTAATTAGCATCGCTTAGATATCTATTAAAGAACAAAGAGTAATATGTGTATATGTTCCTGTTAAGACTATTTTAATGAAATGAAGGAATACGGCCCCATCCACACCCTCTGGTCAGCATCCGAAGAAGATTTAGCAGACTCCCTGAAGGGCATTGCCAGCTGCATCGACAGGTGTTGCAAGGCTACGGAGAAGAGAATGGCAGGGCTCTCAGAAAACCTGCTGCCAATTTTACATGAATATGTTCTCTACAGTGAAATTCTGATGGTAAGGTTTCTTTAAGGATTGTTTGTGGCTGTAAATAAAATCTGGCTTAGTCCAGTGACAAAGTCTAGGAGAGAATGATGAAAATGATTTTACAGTCCCTGTATTTACTCATTACAAAACATGTGCAGCATAGGATAACTGTCCGTTAGCAGGGAATCTGGTTGGTTCTGTTTCCCTTGCTAATCCAGCCAGAGATGCCCCTTCCAAATAAGAAGAGCTTGACAGTTCTGCTTGGCAGGCAGCCCTTGGTAGCTGTGCTAGGGTGTCTGGTTTTGCCATCTTCAGTGAGCTCTGCATTGTAGCCGAAAGGGTTTGGGAACAGCAGCTGAGAAAGACCTTCTCTGACACGGATAGAATAGGAACTCATTGAGTAACAGATTTTGTGTGGGAAAAGGAGTGGAGAGGTTTTTCCCTTTCTAGGAGCTGTTCCTAAACTATGTTTTCTTTTTCCAGAACAGCAGGGAACTTCCAGTCCCTGCGCCATTATATAAGCATGTTTTGCCATAAGCTACTGCTCTCAGTTCCCTTTATGTATATATTTTTCTTACACTTGGAGAGAATGTAAAAAATCAGACTCCAGAGTTGATATACTCAGTGTTGGTGGATAATCAACATAATTAAGTAACTGAATTCAGCATGTCATAATTCCCACTTTGCTGCCTCCAGAAAGCAGAACATGTGTACAAACCCCTCTTTGTCTAGGTTTTGAGCAATGCCATCTGCAGTATCTGTTCTTCTGTTACTGCTGGGAGTCCAGCTCCTACTGCAGTGCCTTCTGAGTAGGGGCTGACAGTGTGTTGCAGGCCATGGGTAGAGCAAGACCCCAGTTAACTGAGCCTTTGCTGGCACTGTGCAGAGCATTGCCAGTTTCTCAGTAAGGCTCAGCTACTGAGAGGTTAGGAATTACTGCTGCAATGACTGCTGTATTTAAAACAAGCTGCACTGAAAGAGGGGCCATGCTGGTAGGTGGAGGTACTGCTTTGCTTAAAGGTTTAAAGAGATTACCATCCTAGCAATTGCAGCTCTTCTTCGTCTCCCCCACTTCCAGAAGTAATTTTTCAGCATTTCTAAGTCTGTTACCCATGAGTGATCCTAGCCTTCGTGCTACTGAAGAGATTCTGCCTGCCCATGACCTTCTGTTTTGCAGCCTGGCTCACCCTCACCCTTTCTCAGGCGTTCTGTCCAGAGCACAAAGAGGTTTCTGTGGACAAGCCCCAGGGTGACTACCTGGCTCTTCATGCACACTTTACAAGTTGCTGTTCCCCACTGCATTTTTTCTGCTTGTAGTTTTCTTGATGCAGCACTTGCAACACAGCATTAGTCTGCCATGAGGTCCTGTCCAGAGGAAAAACCTTCCTTCAGTAGCTCACTGCTGTTCTACAATTGTCCCTTTCCCTTCATTCACTCTGGATTTTTATTTTTGTTATGGCTTACTTCCCTCTTGGAGTTTGGAGAGGGTAAAACTAATCACACTAAAAATACCATGGGAAGTCACACAGTAATAAACCTGCTTTCAGAGGTGTGTTTAACCCCTCATGTGCAGTGCTGCCAAGATCACATGCAAATGTGCAAAACAAGGTGTGATCAATACAATACAGTCCTTGTATTTTCCAGTGTTGTGAGTTCAGCCTTTAACTGGGGAATGAAATGAATTCACAGCTAAAATATTTACATCTGGACCGGCTCCTTCCTAACTGACCCACAGAATAAAACTGCTGTCCCTCAGGGTACAAATTACAGCATTAATTGTTTATGAATTCGCATAAAGAATTTGAGGGTTTTGTGGCAGGGTACCATTAAATATTACACCAAAAAGCTGTAAAAGTGTAATAATATGTTTTAAAAATATAGTCCCTATGTTTGTCATTAGAAGTCAGCACTTGTCTGTAGTTGTAGCACCTTAATATTAAAATAGTCAGTTTTGTTTTATAATTTGTGATAGCAGCCATTAAAACAGTTTTAAAAGAGGCAAAATAAATAGTAAAAAAGAGCAAGCATTTGTATTATGAAGAAAAGTTGTTCCAGACATTTGTTTTGCTTCTGTGCTTATAGCTAAACTTTTTCTGTATATATTAAGTTCTGAGCTATTGAGCAGATTTATGAGCATTTGTATATATAGCTAATCTTTTACTCAGAATAGCCTAAAGTCAGGTTTACCAATTTTTATTGTAATTACCAGATCAAAAAGAAACACTGAAAAATTATTTGAAAAAAACTCCTAAATTATTTTATTGTATTTGATAAAGTGACAAGATCTCAGAGATATTTTCAATCAAATAAGAGAGCTAGAGAAGGTAGAGCTGCTTGTGCCCTGTGATGTTTCAACATGCCTTGTGCTAGAGGTGAATACTGAACATCTCTGCAGCAGAAGCAGTAAAACCAGTTGTGGCAAGGTAAAGTAAAAGAAGATTTTGAGGTTTGTAATTTAATATGTTCTGCTTCTGACTTTTTTCAAAAGGACTAAAGCCTTGCAACACTTCTGCAAGATAAGCATACCTGAGTGTGCTTTTACAGATGAGGAAGCTAAGACAAAGAGAAATTTATAAGGCTTCATCAAGGTCTCAGAGCAAATTAGCACTGGAAATGGAAATTTAATTTGTTAATACTGTTCCTGTTTTGTAGCTTAACAAGTAATGTTCCTTCCCCTTTCTAATTATTTTTTTTACATTATGCTAAAAACCCAATACCTGATAAGACAGTTTTAAAGGAGGTAATAATTACATATGCTGAAAATAAGCACATATATCAATGGTAGAACAGCTATCATTCCTATGATAACTTTATCTGATTTTTGTTAATTTTTTCTGATTTTTCAGAACTACATTTGGCACTTACAAAATAATATTAAAGGTTAAACTCACACTTTCAATAAGGCCTTGTATACCATTTTTAGTCATTCTACTTTATATTGTAAATTTTACTCAATGAAGATACTGTCATTCATGAGATTTGGCAAACTCATGTTGCTGTTTTGAGATATGAATATATAGTAAGTTGAGCTGATACCAATTAAACTGCTGTTGCAGTTTTGTTCATATAACTAGCAATGATACTGTGTATGTCAGATTCTTGTGGCACTGATTTTGGATTTACTAAGATTCTTGAAAAACACATAAGATAAAATAGAGGTATGGAAAAATAAGTCTTCATAATTTTAATTTTTTTAATTAAAGTATATGTATCATGTCAAAATTATTAAATGGCATCATTCTGTGATCCTACTTATTTTATAGAATAGCCAAGGTGTTTGATGGTTTTCTGAAATAGCTAAAATATGGTGTAGTTTACACCTTTTTTTTTCTTCTTCTATATTAAGGGTGTTTTGAAAAGGAGAGACCAAATTCAAGGCGAGCTTGATTCCAAAGTTGATGCTTTAGCCAATAGAAAGACAGAAAAGGATCTGGTGAGTATGTACAGAAAGCTGAAATCTTCCAGGCCTTATTCTAACTGCAAAAGATATGCAAAAAAAGTGTCCTGAGAAGCCATGTGTAGTAACTGGATGGTGTCTCTGCGATTCTTTGTAGCTGTATGTGCCAGGCAAAGGCAGTCCTGAGAAAGATGCAGCACTTCAGTAGATGGGCTGCTGGAGCGAAAGGCTGGTCATAGTGGGTGACCACTGTGTTTTGTCAACACAGACTGTACCACAGATTATTTTTAGCATTTCCATTTGCTTCCACACTTGGAGTTAAAAGAAAGTAAGACTTGCTGCAATGCTCTTGTAGCTGCTGCTCCATTGATGTAGGAGAGGGAGAGGAGGTGGTTAGAATGAGCAGTTGTTCAATAAGCTTATTTAAAATGAAACATTCTGCATTTTGTTCTATCTAGTTGAGCCGAATATTTTTTTTTAAGTCCAGTATGACCATTCATTCTAGTGAAGTCGGACTGTAACTGGTAGCCTGTGGGGGCAGGCATCCCCAAAACCATCAGCAAGGCTCAGCGAGCCAGTTAAAAGCAACTTTCAGCATGAGTATTGGCATTTTAAAATTTTTGATTGTTGAACTGTCACGCCTAAGTAATGTCCTTTTAGCACAGTGTTAACACAAAGTGTTATACAGTGTAAATAATATATAAAACTGACTAATAACTTTTTAGTACATAAAAGGAGAAAGTCCTTGACATTTCAGATACTTTTTATTTGAGTTGTTGTAATTAGTTTTCATGTAAAGATGAGCTGTTTAGATAGTTTTTGGATTTGAAATTCCTATTTTCATTTGATTTCTCACTGAGATGAATAAATAAGAATATATTACCACTCTCTGGTATCTACTATGGCTATGGTATATTTTGTAACAGTTTGCCTCTGTGTACTGCAGTGGGACATTAAGTAAATACCTCTGTTTGTTTTTTTTTCTTGAAGTAGAAATTCTGTTTACTTATATTGTCCTATCATTTCTCTGCCTCTGTGTTCTCGAAACTGTTTTTGTTTCTTTGCTTTCTTTGCTGCTTCTCCTGTCCTTTTTCCTTAGTTTAAAGTTTGAAACTCTTATAGAACGCACAGAGGATGGTAAGTTGGAGAAGTCCTCTAGGCTGGGAACAGGGTAGCAATGGCAGGTCCATTCAGTGATGAATTCCAGTTTCATACAGCTTGTTTAGCAGGCAGTCTCATTGCTGTCCACCATAGAACACTGCATGGCAGGACATGGCCTCTTCAGGATGTATTCCTGTTATAATCTGATGGAGTCCTCAGGCAAGGTGCATGCACTACCTTTTTCCTGAACTGTTACAAATCAAGAATATTTTTACTTTAGCATAGTATTGATTACACCATGTTGATTTGATACTGACTGGTTTACGCCATCATGAGATGTTTGTACTTGCTTCCAGTAGGATTTTGAGATCAGCTTGCCCAAAGTTATCTTTTTTCACTGTTTCTGTGTTTCAATATCTGCATTTACAGTTTTGGTAAAACCTTTGGACAGTGTGATTACCCAGGTGTTCAGATATTTGCTTTATCTGTCCAATCCCTCTTTTACTCATTTCAGAGAATCCTGTTTCTGAGAGCCTGATTCTCCTTGCAGTCTCACAAAAGCAGTAAAACAGATGTCTGTTAGTCTAATCTGATAATAAAATTCTGTGTTTTCTAATTGAGTGGCAGCTGTATCTGAAGATGTTTTCTTAATTAGAAGGCTTTTTCTATTAAGGATAGTTTGATTGCAGAGAATGCTGTACTGCTATTTTTAACCATTGAAGTGACTTCTAACTGTTTCTTGGTAATTTTTGTACTATTTTAAAATTTTTGTTATGTGTTGAAATATTTTTCTGACACTCCTAACCAAACTGATTTCAAAATAAAAGGTGGTCATAACACAGGCACTGTTATTGGAACTGGTGCCAAACACTGAGTTTGAGTGTCTTTGCACATTTCTATTCCTAAGCAGAACTGTAGCTTCTAATGATCTCATAGATGTCAGATTGAACTTGTCAGTGCAATCTAGTAGCCAGAAATTTTGCTGACAATGAGTGGCATGAACTCTAATCTCATTTGAAGTACATTTCCACCACAGATAAGGAGACTCAGACTGTCATTAGAGCTGATAAAAGGCTGTGAGATCTTTAGCATTGGTCACGGCAAACATTAAATGATTTAACAAACAGGAGGTTGTACAGCAGAAGAATGTAAAACATCCCCAAGGTCAGTGCAGATGAAATAGGCTGGAATTGTAAATTAAACCTTATGGGACATTAACCTCATTGTCTGGGAAAAAAAAAGTTTTCTTGAGCTGTGCTTCTGCAACCTGGCATTTAGGAAGCTGCTTGTGGTGCTGCTAAAAACCCAAAACAATGTCTCCCGCTCCAAAATTTGGTCCATGAAGGCGGCAGTTGTTCAGGGTATGGATGGTTTGAAGACTGTGATTTTGGATGCAGGCTCTGACAGAGATATCTGGGAGGACTTTGGTACCCTCTTGCTTGTCTAGGCCTTTCTACCTCCAGAGCTCTGGCTGTGAAGTTGTTGGGATATGTTGCTCCATCGCTCCCATGCTCCATTCTGAAGGCTACACAGCAATGCTCGTGTATCCCTCTGTGGTTTGGATACTTTTAACAGTTTTAGTACTGCCACTAGCGCTGATAGTAATTCTGACAAAAGGTTGGTATAATGTGCTCTGACAGAACCAGATAAGCATTAAATGCTAACTTAAGGATTCTAGTGTTCAGGCTTGAAACTGAGTAGTAAAGAGATGAAATGCTGAATCTATTACATTCTGAGTATAGCTTATGTTTTAACTCCAGGCTAAAGGATTAATTTAAAACTGTAGGATTAATTCATGTAGCAGATAGAAATTCATGCAATTTTGCCATACTAAGTGTAAAATGCTGTGTCACCAGGTGATTTGGCTATTGGGCCAGGTCTCTTTGCTACAGGTCCCACTCTTCACATCTGGTGGCACTCTGCCCTAACAATGTCTGGCTCCCACCTTCCTGTGCCGTGGTCAGATGTCTGATTAGCACCGTGCTGTCCTTATCTGGTGATCACTGATGTGAGATTTAATTTCTCACACTTGGTGCCTCAGTGAGATCAATGTAAGAAAATGGATTCAGAATCCTATTTAATTTGCAGGATAAATTGTAACAATTTACACCTTGTAAGTGAGGAACACACTAGATAGGTGTTTTTATTAAGATCAAGCCATTCTTCTTTGAATTCTGCTGTCATGGCAGCTGAAGAGGGTGGCATTTATGTTTCTTTTTCATTTTCAAAAAGTAGATATTAAACCTCTCTACTTGAGATGATGGCAGCATAATGCTGCCCTTAGATCTTAAGTCAGACCCTTGCCTTGATACAACACACAGTTCTTTGGGACTTTAGAGGGGGATGTTTAAACTGCATATCCAGGCAGGAATGTAGAACGGGGTCTGCCTATCTATGTCACACTGTAACTACACTGTGGGAGAAATTTGTAGTTCCTAGAAAAGGACAGACAAAACCAAACTGTAAAATAAATTACTTAGAGATATAAAGAACAAGATAAGGGGAAGCTGCTGGAGCCATGACTTCTAAGTCGGAGTAGTTCTTTTTGTGTGTAGACTAGTGCATTCTCATAGAGGAACTTTTTTTTTTGTAAAAGCAGAAAATGGATTCAACTGCCTTTCCTACTCTAAATCATCTTAAAAATGTCACCGTTTTCAGTATTCCGTGTGCATTCATTTTTTGGTGTTTGAAGGAAAAGCAATTAGCATGGGATATGCTCAAAATACCAAATCCAGTTGCCTGTAATTCCTTTAAAGGTAATTCCCCCACATTTAAACTGTGGATTAACTTTTTCATTTTGAATACAGAGTTGGTAGTTGAAATTACCCTTGTCTGTAACTTGATTACTGGTCTGGCTAGGTAATTGAACTTGGGCTTTTCAGTAAAGTAGAAATAAGATTTTGCATTTTGTTCTTGATTAATAACTGGTATTTCATTAATCTAGAAGTGTGCCAAAGAAAATCAGTGTAGAAATCAAGTCTAACTAAAAATGTTTATTATGGAATGGGGAAAATACCCATTCAGATGAATTTTTCAGTTTTACTAGCTAAGGAGTTTTTGGCTACTTTAAGAGCTGAAGGATTCTAGTATGTCAAACTGAATGGGATCCAGGTTCTGTGACCATTTCAGGCAGTGCAGCTTAGTTTGTGTCTAATGGTGGCAGGACTGCTGTTGCACTTGGATTGCTGTTCCCCCTGCATGGTTCAAGCAGGAGGCTGTGCACCAAGACTTTCCACATCCTGCTCTGAATTTTGATGTGTCTGTGTTCTGCCAATAGAAGAACACAGAAGAAGAACACAGAAGAAAATCCTGGAAATGAATCCTGGAATCCTGAACTTCCTATCATTGATAACACCATCTCTACAGAAAGCACGAGTAGCTATCCAAGTTTACAGAGGTGTTGTACGAGGAAAAAAATTATTTGCCTGATAGCAGAATACAAGGAAGCAGAAGAAGTGTATGGGACCTGAGTTGCAATGGAAGCAATACAAGGAATTAAATTTCCTGCTTGATGTTCCTTACTGATGTTCTTGCCTGACCCCTCCTGCTGCAGACAGTCACTCTGCAGTCGCAGCAGATGAATTTGCGCTGTAGCTACAGAAGATGTATCTAGTTCTGTGACTGGGTGCCAGCCAGAACTGACACTGCTGATGAGTAAACGACAATAGGTAACAAAATTACTGAGAAGACTAGAAAATTCATTAAAGAGAGGGCCACTGTGCACTTACTCATGCCATTAGCTGCAAAGTCACTTTGTGCATCTACAGTAATTAGAAGCAAGTAACGTCTGTAGACTAGCCCTCAAGGTTTTGGATCCTGGATCAATGTGGAAGAGTTTCTTCTCTGTTAAAGTCCTTTGGTTTAATTTCTTTCTCTGCTTCTGTATTCCTTTTTCCTTCATATGGTTCCACAAAAAAAGATGACAGTGTGACAGGCAAGAAATCAGAAGGGTTGTGCTTTTGATTTCTGCTGTCTTCTCCCCATTCTGGTTTCTCCCGAGGTTATCAAAGGTTCTGTCAGGGTTTTCTCATTTTTCTTGCCCAAATCTAATTGTACAGTTGATTCTGCTTCAGTAAAGCCCTCTATATTTTACTTTTTAGATGCATTACTGTCAAGTGCTAGTGAAGACGTGCCAGAGTCTGTAACTTCTTAGCCAATAAAAATATCTTCAGGAATACTTGAATTGTGGTCTAGAATTTCTGTTATTAATATTTCAAAAATTATAGTGAGTTATTCATTAGGAATGATGTTTCAATATGATTTTTTGTGCTAAGTTAAATATCAACCTTGCTTTTTCAGTTCTGTTTGCCTCCACTACAGTCAGTTGATTTCAATAATTTTGAAAATGGTGATTTTCCTAATATTTTTTAATATTTACAATTAATATTTAGTTCTCAGAAGAGATTGGGAAACTTGAAGACAAAGTTGAACGTGCCAATAATGCTCTGAAAGCGGATTGGGACAGGTGGAAGCAGAACATGCAGTGTGATATGAGATCAACATTCACTAATGTGGCTGAGAATAATCTCCGTTTTTACGAAGAGGTAAAAACTCTTTCTCATAGCAATGTTATTTTTTCATTGGTTATTTCAGTGCAAAAGTCCATGGATTGCCTGTAAAGAGGAATTTTTGCATTTTAGTTCAAACATTTGTTAACTTCAGAATCACCTTTTGTGGGAAGAGGGAAGCAGTTATCCTTAATTTGACACATTTCAAGCAAAATGTGTTTTGCTTGTGCCCAAGTGGTTGATCTTGAGTTCATCATCGACAGAGGGCAGTCTTGTTTTACTAACCACAACAATTTGGAACATATTTTTCGGTTCAATGTCAGCTGCTATATTTCAGTTTGGAAACATTTTGCTGTAACTGCATGAAAAAGCCTTCTGGAAGGCTCAAACCTGTCTAAATGATCCTGTATGAGGAAAACGTTTCAATATTCTATCAGATTTTTAGTTTCAGCTCTAATGCCACGGGTAATATTCTTGGTAAGAATTTCCATTTACAAGGATATGTACTCAGAAGGAGAACTTGAAAACAAACAACAAAATACATTAAGCATTCTGTGAAGTTTCCTCATGGGGAACACGTTTTTGATTGAAATGCGCATTTTGAAAATATCCCAGATGTTTTTAAAAGTTTTTGAAAGAATTTCTCCTTATTTTAGGAAAAAAAATGGAATACAATAGGCCATCTATTAATCATAAATTAGTATTTTTTGCAGATATATGTTGATATCTGTAACTTCCAGTCCTGTAGTCTGAACTTTTTATGGATCGCCCATTAGCCAATGGCAGTGCCCTGATTTTACAAATCATTTGGTAAAACGTAATTGAAAAGACAGAGCTCTTGATCATCAAGTCTAATTAATTAACATGTGGTCTGTGAGATGCATGGACATTGACAATCTGTTGTTACATATTAAGATCAAAATATTTTCTGAAATCAGACAGCAAGCTTTTGGCATCCTCTCACATTGTCTTCAGTTATTGATCGTTTCTGACTTCTATAGCAGCAATATGTATGATAAAACAGTGCTGAATATATTGGAATATTTTGTTTATGAATGATAAGCTAAAACACAAAAATAATTATTTGTTTCTTTTTCCTGTCCAGAAATGCTTTTTGCTGAATCAGAAGTTTAATTCAGAACACCAAATACTGTACATGAAATTATTATTTTAGCCACAAACTACAGAAAAAGATTCAGCTATTTCTGTAACTGTTGGTGGTTCTTCTTAAATAGCCTCTGAAATACTGGACAAATTGGTTTATACTGAGACATGATTCTTTGTGCTTTTCTTAAATATTGAAATCTGCATAAAATGGGTTTACTGTTACATCTCAGTAGATCTACATTTTAGAAAAAAACGCCTTATCTTACTGCAGCAGTTGCACTAATAAACAACACTGTGCTAACTGTATCACTCCTTGCTTGCAACATGAGGGCTTACCAATATCTCTCTGTTTTATCAGAAAATCATTATTTTAATCCTGACATTCAAGAGAATTTGATAAAATTAATATTTCGATTGGGAGTTTTGATCTAAAATACCCATTTATCTGAGACCTGTGGTTAATGCTGATGGTTAACTGTTGGAGAAGTGATTACTGATTACTGTCAGAGGCCTTTATATTAAAAATTACATGTGTGCAATGCACTCCTGAAAGGAGCAGGAAAATAAACTCTGGCATCTGCTCCAGCTTTTTGAAAGTGAAACTTCGGGAAGGGAATCTCAGAAACCCAGGAAGGAGAATATTATTTTTATCCTTGCAGTAGGAAACAAAATCTTGCCTTAAGGGCTTGAGTCTAACTCATTAAACTTATGCACAAACACAGTTCCTGTTACAGTGTTTTTCTCTTTTCAGTCATTACTTGCATCATTAACATTCTTTCACATGTCTGAAGTTACTCATTCAGACTTTTGATGCACCATTTGATGCTTACTAAGCCTGTTCTTGCTGTAGCATCCCTCTTTTCTTTTTCCCAAAGCACATTCTGTGCATTTTCCCAGGCACCACGGATGCCATGGATGTGATTCAGGAGTCATTCCTGTTAGTGGTCATTATCTGCATCCCTTAAATTTCTGAGAACTACAGTGATGAGAGACAGCCATCTATTTTCTGATGGCTTTTGCAGCAGAGAATCCAGTCCTTCAAGACTGTATAAAACTCAAGCCAGTGTGATCAAATACAACATAGCAATGTGTCAAAGTACACTAGAATTTCTAAAATGTTATTTCCTCTTGGTCAAAATATGGGAAAAGAGTATGACCTTATATTTTTTGGGGTTTTCCGTAATTGTAGTTGCCTAAGGATTCTGCTGTCAAATTATCAAGCATCATTTAGATGTTAAGAGTATTTCATAAAAGAGTATGTCTCCCTTAAGCTGAATTAATGTTCACATTAATTAAGTGTTACTTTAAAGCATTACCTGTAATTGTATTTCTATGGCAATTAGTAGAATTGAATTCTACTAATTCAAAACAAGTAGAGTTATTCCTGTAGCCTTCCAGTTTATTCACTATCTCATTTAATATGCTTGAATAAGAAGTGTTGCTTTGTTTCTACAGCCATGAAATCACCAATCTCTTTGTGTCTCTCAATGCTGTGGTAACAAAGACAACAAATGAAAGCCCAGTGTTGCAAATTTTCAGGGTGCTCCTGTGCAGGCCTATAAAAATGAAAGCTTTCCTGTGATAATGTACATGATTAATTATATTTAAATATGTCATTTAGTAGCCAAGAATTACCATGACTGACCAATCATTTGCCATTCCTGTAGCTGGTCTCAAGAGTTCATAGAGCTCTCTACTTCCTTTTCTTTGCTCTGGAAAAGATTTGAATACCTTCTTAAGTCTACCTGTATTCCACAAAGGCTTAAAGCCAAAAAAATACTGTAATAATAATAACTGTAAATGCATTGCTAAAATAGGGGGGATTTTCTGAAACTATGTAAAAAGGCTTTGATTTTTAAAAGTTCAGAACTTTACTTCTATTTGTGAACTAAATAGCATTGATTTGTTTGCCTTACAGAGAAAAGTTCTTGAATGCAGCATGAGTTAACACTGTACTGTTTATTTTATTCCTTTTCCTGATGCCTTAGGCATGACACTATTGTCGGACACCTTAGTCCAGAAGAGATATCTGCCAAACAGCTGGAATCACAAACTGTCCACAGGGTGGAGCTTACCAGCTGAGAAAGCTGATTGTCACCATGAGTATTTTCATTAATTTAGGTATAGATATTCTATGCAGCATTACAAAAACCAAAATACAAAGTTGTTGATGGTGCTGGTAGTATTGTTTAGGTAGCACATTTGAAATGTAACTGGTGCAAAGTAGTGAAAAACCGGGCAGTGTTGAACTCTGGTTTCAAAGAACAAAACCGATTAAACATATGCTAAATTCTTTTTTTACTATAGTCACTAGGACATTTACAGCATTGAAGAAAAAGAAATACTTCAATTTTTCTCAGCAAAGAACTTTGTTAACCTATTCTGTTCAGGAAGAACACCAGAATAAGTGGCAGCTCAATCCAAAGATAACTAGACATTATAATTCCAGGAAATATATGAGTTTGGTTTTCCACTGCTCATGAGACGCTCTAGTAAATGCAGAAAGATTGGTGGTTTTTCCTAATGTAGGATGATAGTTAGTTTTGGCATTGAAAGAACATGGTTTTTGTTGAGCGGGGATAAACCTTTGTTTTAAAGTGTAGTGTCTAATTTTATCTATCTCGTGTCAAACTAATCCTGTTAAACCTTTCCAGCTTAATCAGATAAAAAGCTAAAGGTACCTTTGATATAGTCAGATTCCCGTTGGTATTGACACACCTTAATCTTCTCCAAAAATATAAATGGTTTCCTGATTGTCTTAAATATCTCAAGCATAATTTAGTCTATTTCTGTGACCTACATTGTTGTATGGACATAAATTGATCCAAAAGGTTCACTAGGGCAAAACAATACTCAGTCTCCATTACAGCAACTTCCCTTATGTACCTCTCGGTCTAGTAAAAGCTGTAGAAAAATAGATGAGATTTGTTGCTTGCCCTAGAGGCCTCTGTAATGATGCATTAACTAGTCATTTGGTTGCGTAGCGGAGAGTTAGCTGCTCATGCATGTTGATCACATCCTACCTTAGCAATGCCTGGGAATTTAGCTAACAAACTTCATGTGATTTTCAAAAGCTCCCACGTGGCTGAGCCCATTTGTCTTCTGTGCATGTCGCTTCAAAGACAGGCTCCATCTTTGAACCCTTATTCACTTCATCCATTACGATTTCTTTTAAATAATTTTAGGAAGACATTTTTTATAGTGGGAATGGCTGTTTCTATGCACTCTATTTTTTGTTTCCTTGCACCCAGAAATTATGAAAATATTTTCTGCCTTGGACACAAACAAGACTTCATTTTCATATTCTACTCCAAAAAATGCCATCATAAAGGGTATTTTTAAGGTATTGACCATTCATAACAGGGAACACACACAGCATGTGACACACTGCTTCTGCTAGCATCCTTACTACATATTCTGTTTTTATATCTCCTTTTTAGTTATATATGCAATTGTACTATATGAAAAACTTTCTGCTGTTTTTTTTCTAAGATTGATGTTGTAGAAAAGATACATGTCCTGCAGCAGTAATCGGAATATTTTAGGTAAAATAGCCTTATTTAAGCTCTTGCTATTTCATTTTGTGTATTTAGGCTTTTTTATTTCTTCCATTGGGCTTTTACAAGTAATTGGATTATGAATTTCAATCCTGTGCAAAGACATTTAATTTCCTCAGTTTGGATTTTCTGGTGGTTTTTTTTCCTTTCTGTGTCCTTTGTGAAAACTGGCTGATCCTCTATTGAGATCTCTGTTTTCAGCCTCCCAGGAGAATGGAGTAGAATCATTCTGTAATAACGTTGAAGTATACATCACTAACAAAATGTCGTTTATGCAGTTCATGCTTCACAGTACGAAAAGCTTGAGCCTAAGGCACAGAGACCTAGTTTTGTTTTGGTATGGTTAATTATAAAACTTGTCAGCTGTAGCAGCACTGTGATGTCTGACAGTGAAATGAGCCACCTCTTACATTTTGAAAAATGTGCTTTGGTTATATAAACAGAGATGAATTAAAAACTGCATAACTTGTGTGAAAAAATGCTTTGCATCTTTGTCTGGAAAGACTTCAGTAGATTGTATCTCTCTGCTTAAGCAATATACTGTGATTGCATTTTAACATGTGCAGTTTGGCTCAGTGTTGCAAAGATAAGACACAGCCATTTTTACAGTGCAGCCAGTGCTGATATATGTATTTTAACTCACTGAAATTGCAGAATGACAAAACACGGAGTTACACGGTATAAATTAAACTGTGGTTCAGGAAAAAAATCTGTCATTGCCAACAAAAGACTCTTCAAGAAGAAGTGATGTTTTCTTGCCCTATATCTAGAAAAAGCCTAGGAAAACAGCTGTGCCTTGCAGCTCTCTAGGATGGTAACCCAGGCTGGGCTCTAGCAAACAGCAATTGATGATTTTGAGCGCCACAGTGAAGACACGTTGCTGCCTCACTGACATTTTAAAACCAAGATGCCACATTCCAACTCAGGCATCTCAGATAGATTCAGCTGCCACAGTGTCACATGAAGTATGGGAGAATCTAATGATCAAACCTTAAAGGCTTTATACAAAAGGTCAAAAAGACCTTTTAAGTCAGAAACCAGTTTGCACCACTTGCAGTTCACTGTTCGTGCCAGCAGTATCTTCACTATTTCTCCCTGATGTACCATTTCAAAATAACATTTATTCAAAAAGTCAATGAAGAAAGCAGATTTCCACATGAATCTTATCCTGTTAGTCCTCTCTTTTCACAGTAATTCAAACATTAGATGTACTCTGAACAGCAGCATAATGTTGTGTGCAATAGCAGAAGTTAGTTGGGGCTTTTGTCAGAAAGATTAGAAAAGAAAGACTGAGGGGGTAGATTCATGGTATTCATAGTCTAGGGGACAATATATGAGTAACAGGAATGATCTCTAACAGGGCTGATAACAACCAAAAACGTATGCAAGAATAAGCTCCCACATACTTTTTCTTTGTGCTCTTTTAGTTCAGTTGGCCGTTTTAACCACTCTCGTTATCTTGCAGACCCACATCTACTTTCTTATGTCTTCAGAGACAAAACCATTGCTGACTTTTGTTTGCTTTTTCTTGTTACTTTTGTCACCCATAATTTTACGGGTATCCCTGGTTCTGCATCCTTCTATCGTCATGGGTTCTCCCAGCTCCAGTCATCCTGTGTGTATTCTTTGTTTTGCTCTTTGAGCTTATACTTTAACATTATTCGTGACTATCAGATCCTCCCACTCATCAGCTTGCACATAGATATGGAGCTATACCAGGACCCAGGGTAATATGATTAAATCTGCATATTTAATGGCAGAGCTTGGAAGTCATTCACAAGAAATGTCTAACAGAGATAGGTGGCTGTAAGTTCAAGCAGCGTAATTTCCACATCTCCTAAGCAATGACAGATGGATGCTACATGTTCCACTGTAGCTGGGCTTAGCAAATTGCTGTGGCTTGAATAGCTTATGGCAAAAGATTTCAGTTACGAAATGATGCTGTTTTCAGGTTACTGATTTAATTCAAAGTTCAGATAAATGGAGTGTGCTATCCAGGTGTTAATATATATTTCCTGAGAAATTTCAGAAGACCTATTTATTGTGAATAATACAGATTCTTCATGAAAAAAAACTGTGTACACTAAGTAGTAAATAAGCTGCAGTGTCTAGAACAACAGATACAAATGTATAAGTCAAAATTTTGTTAGAACATTTCCATTTCAAGAGCTTTTTATCAACAGCATCAGAACAAGAAAATTATTGCATGAATTTCCCTGCCCTGTTCTACTGATAGACTTGAAATAGTAGAAGCCTGGGGCTTTGTCAGCTCACTATGGGTTACCTATTGATAGCCTTGCCATGGCTCTCAACATTAATCTGTGATTTAGAATGGCTTGCCAAGCTGCCAACACTCATTTAAGCCAAATTGAACCGAAGTCATTTGGGGTTTTGGTTTTTTTTAATTTTACTTGCTACAGTCTTGATTATTTAAATAAAAAATTAGTTTTTACAATGATAAATACATTTTTCCATGAGGAGAGAAATGCCACTTGTTGTAAGGATGACAATTTCCCTACTCCCAGCCCCTGCCTTTCTGGTCCCATTTCTTTCCCATTACTCAGGGGAAAAAATGAATCCTCTCCTTATTTAGGAAAAAAATGGTTTAATTTAACTTGGAAGACAAATTTGGTATACAATAGGAATCCACAGAGATTACAAGGGAACTGTGCCTGACAATGTGCTTTCTATTTGGAAGAGATCTTTGCCTGTAACTAAAGGGGGAGATTAAAGAGGAGCATAATTAATGTTAGCATCTTCCATGCTACAACATACAATTACAATGCTCACACTGTGCGCTTGTCATTATGTAGAAGTGACCTTTACAGCTCACTCAGCATGTTAGCTAACATTTTGCATATCACTGAGCTGCCTAGGAAACCATATTTTGCTCTTACCATGGTCCCACAAAAGCAGCTTGTGACAATGTGTATGTATTCTGATTTTTTTTCTCTTCTTTTTCTCCTTGGCTAACAGTTTACAGAAAGCTATCTGCTATACTCATATGTATGTGTTTGGTTTTTTTAAGTGCCTTGCTACATGGGAGTCCTTCCTAGCATCTCAAACAGTGGATCTTCATGTGGAAGAAGATTCTGAAGACAGGCCTTGAGTAATATCTCTGCTTGATCTCTGCCTTTTCCATGTAGTTTCTCCCAACCAAAGTGCTTTATATGAGATCAAATACATTATTAAATTTAACTGCTAAAATCAGTGAAATGCAGAAAACCAGCTTATTGAACACTCAGGTATTCTAGTCCTGAAATACATTTTGAAACATGCTATATATTGCTTTTTATTGCTTAGCTCTGATTTTACATATTTTTATGCATTTGCATACAATTGTTTTCATAAATATAGCATAATTTGGATATAAAGTATTTTAAATATGTAAAAATAGCTTCATTTTAATAAAAAGTTTAATAAGGAAAGTTTGTCATCATTCTGTATCCTAGTCTTTAAGAAGTATTTCAGTATTTTAGCATTCTTCTTATATTCTCTTTCTTGAGTAATTTCTTGTAGTTGTAAAATTACCTCACGTAGTTTTCAAGAACTAGGACTTTAGGATTACATTGATAGATCTTGCTGGTCACTTGATGGCAACATGGTACATAGAGACACCAAACGTACTGTAAGATTAATGATGTTTAAAGTATTGTTAGTTTAGTTTTTAGACTGCATACTTACATGTCTATTAGATGTCTATTAGACATCTTCAATTTGACATTTTTTAAAGGATGAAGAAAAAACTGGCAGTTCATGAAACAGATTGTTTGTACAGTGATGACACAGCACTGATCCTACCAGCACAAGAGCTTCCATTTGGAGTTTGCAGGATGAAATCTTTTACTCCCATGGCTGACCCTCCTGTAATCCTTAACTTCTTCCCTCTTCAGATAGTCAGTGTGGAAGAGAAAGGGTTAAGAAAATAAAAGAGAGTTTTGCATTTGAAATTATTAGCTGATTCACTCATGCAATATGCATTGAAGTCTTCCAGTCATTCAATTATTCCACCCAAAAGGTTTTCCAGTCTGGACTTGTAGTTTCTGCAGTTTTATTCCCTTTGGCCTGAGCAGGCCGAAGGCTGAATGTGGAAAGAATGAGGTGCAGGAATGAGAGACAGTCTAATCAGGGCTCTGGTGTGGCAGAACAGGAGGGCCTCAGCCATCACCTGCACCTTTTGTGGTGGCATTTTGGGAGCTTGCTCTTGTCAGTCACCTCATGGCAGCAGGGGTCAATTCCAGAGCACACAGCTGCTGCTCTTGGATGGCTGTGGAGACCTGTCCAAGCTGGGAAAGTATTTTGTGGTTTTGATTTTAAAAAATTTAGATTGCAAGTGAAACCTGGAATACCATTACGACCTTTTCAGCAACTCTCTCATGCTGCTCCCGTGAAGTAGTAATGAAAGCTCAGCCCTTTTTTTCTTTTTATCTATAAAATGGCAGTTAAGATGCTCCTGGAGTACTGCAGGAAGTATGCATCCCTCCCAGGGTGGACAACTCACAGTGGAGTCTGTGTTAGGAGGAAGGCAGTGTGGTGCCAAAGGCCTGTGCTACAGAGTGTCTTCTCCAGCTGTGCTGGCAGTGGATGCTTGCAGGAGCCAGGGAGGAACAACATGGCTGGACTGTGCTCTTTTCCCACTGTATCCTTTCTGAAGATTTTTTTTTTTAACATCAGAGCTTCTATCAATTAACTTAATAGCCTTTAATAGCTTTCCCTCTGCTTTCTTTTTTTCCATCTAAACTCATAGTATTTACAATGCTGAATGGATTCCACAACTTAACATGTAGGAAAAATCAATACTTTTTGTGATTTCCTAAACCAGCTGCCCAATAACTTCTAGTGATGCCCTCTACTTGTTAAATTGTGAGAAGAGATGAGGACCTGTTTCCTATTTATCTTCCCTGTGCCATTCAAGAATTTACAGACCTCTAGTGTGTTTTCCAAGCACTGCTGCTTTCCCAGAGGAAAAGCCATAGCTTAATACCATATCGTACAAAAGCCACTTCACATCTGTGCTCATTGTTATTGCTATTCTCTGTATTTTCTAGTTCTGCTGCAACCAGTGTTCAAAATGCAGGCACACCAGAAATGTACATGTTGTCATAATTATGCTTTGATTTTTGTCATCATTCTTTCCCACTATTTTCTAATTTATTTTTTAAAGTACCACTGAATGCTGAGCTGCCATTCCATAGAACTGTCCACTAACATTAAGAGCTATTCTGAAGGTTACTGAATAATTTAATTTCCATCAGTGTGTATATATAGGAGAATTGGCTTTTCCCCAGTGAGCATTTATTTGCATTTATTAATACTCAATTTAGCCTGCTGTTTTTAGCTCCTAATCTCTCTGTGGTGTACAGTCCTATAAACGGGACTCCAGCAAGTCAAACAGCAGTAACACTCTGAATACCAGATAAACAAAAGTTCAAGAAATTGAGCTTGAACAGGCTTACCTGGAAGGATAGGAATGTTTCAATGTAACCAAAAATTAATACCGTGTGGCTCATTTAGGCACCTCTAAGGACATGTACTGTCTGGTTAGCTGAAACGGGCAATGCCAGTGTGTGTTGGGTTGATTTTACCTGTATATTCTGCTGGAGCAGAACGTTGCTACATGAGATATTTGGAAATCAAAAGCATCGGACATTTTGCATCCTTGGTAAAAACGCTCATTATGTTCATGATTTCTTTTTCAATTCTTTTCATCTTTAGCTAGGCTATAACTTGTGAGGGAAAGACTTTAGCAGTCAGTTATACAGAGGCCTTCTTTTGACCATGTGTTTGTTCTCCTGATTTTCTCTATCATCATGCAGTACCAAGATCCGTTTTTAAGTACAATCAAACATTCTCCTTTTTGTGACATGCAAATACTTCTGCTACCTAACAGGGGAGCTGTCACCAGTGCAAATAGCTGATAGTAAAGGTAAAACACAGGTAGCTTGTGTGGGTAAGACATCAGTGTCTCTAAGCACTAAGTGATTTTATATGGTTGCCTGGTACAGACTCTGGTACATTATCTGCAGCAAGATGCACGTCTAGAGGAAAAGGAAATAAATGCGGACCCTGCTGGCCCCTGCTGCTGTCAGCCTACACCCAAAATAGTGACCTTTCAAAATGATTTGTGCTTTATTTATTGACATTTTTTCATTTGCCTGATAGCTATGGGCAGGATTTCACTGACAGCATCACTAAAATAAGGCTCATGCTGGCATAAATTAATCATGAAACCAACCTTCCAGCAGGAGCTTTGCAGGCCAGAAGGAATATCAAGTGGCTTTCTTTCATATGTCTAAATCACTTTAATATTACATATCTGCACTGCCCACTGTTTTGGACAAACAGTCCCTTCATGAAGAATGGATGAGGGCAGAGGGGTATGTAATAGGCTGCTCTGATGTGTTTTAAGTGTACTCAAAGAAAATGGCTAAATAAACCTTTTTCTAACAAATAAAGGAGCTCCTATCTGCTACCCAGGGGGACTGACTTGAGTGACTAGAGGATCCAACTGTACAGCCCTTGCAGAAAGCACTTGGGCAGCAAAACTTTCATAAAGCACAGCTTTCAAGTTTTTACTGTGTGAACCTGTTGTTACCTCGCCATCATTTTTACTCTACTCCTGCCATTATTGTGGAGAGAGAAAACCTTATCTATGCAATCCCACAGAGGCACCTTATTGAATACGGTGTGATTAGAAGAAATGTTGGCCAATAGGGTGAACCATAAACTCCTTCAAGAAACCTACCATGTTGCTTTTTCAAGAGACACCAATGTTAGATGCAGCCCCTACCGCTGACAGTGGCTCTGCCTCACTGGCAGTAACTCACCCGAACCTAAAAGGGATAGACAAAAACTTTGGGACTGAAAAGTGAAGGTACATCCTGGTTTAGGTAAAATACATGATTAAAGAAATGCAGAACTGCCAAATTATGTTCTCATCTAAAATATAATTGGAAAAAATGTCAAAAAATATTGTATTCATTTTTCTACAGGCAAAAAGTCATATTTGAGGTTTAAATTTTTTTATCTAGACTGTGACATGAAACTGAATTTCCAGCAGGAATAATTCTTTTGATAATTGTATTGCTTAGAAGGTTAATTAAGGAATAAACATTATTATGTCTGCATTAATAATTAATGAAAAGTTGCCAGAAAGCCATTAACTGTGAAAGCCAAACTAAGAAACTCCCTTGGAATCACAGCAACATTGATTATGTGATGAAGACTCATTGTTTTTTAAATAATTGTTTTAACACCGGCATCTTAAAGAGCAATGGAACTGCCTTTTTGAATTAACTTTTTTAATCCAAAAAATAAGTAGCTGCAATGTTAGAATATGATTTGATTTTTTTTTTCAAACATAAAACATCTCACCAGGCTCTTTCTGCAAATGAAAACAAATAAGATGTTTGTTTTTTTTATTTGTACTCTGGAGTTGTGTTCATTTAAATAATAAATCAAGCTTTCACCAGGAGGTAAAAAAATAGTATGTAAAATGAGAGCTGAGCAAGATGCTCCCTACATGTTCAACTGTCACAAAGCTCCTTACTTTTACGTGGAGAAATGTTTTTTCACTCAGGCACAGCATTATTTGGCTGTCAGGTTACAAGAGAAAGCCAGAGGTGGTCTAACATCATCATCTCCTACCCAGGAGCCTGCAGGAATTGCTTGGGCCCCACAAAGCTGGTACTAAGCCCTTCAAGCTGGCAGAGCCTACCAAAATGAGCAGCAGCTCACTGCGGATGCAGAACCACTACTGCTTTATCATCTCTTTTTACTGCTTGATTCTTCAATATACACAGCATAAGAGTCCGAAGTTTCTGATAAAAGCAAAAGAGGGAAGTTTATGAGGGTCCTTTTCAACCTAAAAACTATTATATGAGGCTATGAAATAGAGTGGAAATTGAGAGCAATTATATTATGAAGTGAAAAACTGTTACAAGAATTAAGTATCCTCTCCTACTCTTGTCCACCAGCAATACCTTTTGCAATAAACAAAACAACCTGGCAGACACTCAGCTGACATAAAAGCAAAGCTAAAGCAAGGTTAGAGAAAGATTTGTAACTGGGTTTGAGAGAAAACAGCTAAGTTAGAATAGCTCTTTGGAGACTACGTGTTCATTCACTGATGGGACAGTACAAATTTTATAAGTGAATTAATTGTGACAGGTTAACATAGTAAAGTAAGTTGTTCAATATTTATTGGTGCCTTCCAGCATGTTGCTTTATTCCTATTATTGTACCTATTTTGTTACCATCTCATTGTAGGAAAGAAAATTAATGGAGAACTATAAAAGGGGAGGTGCAAAAGCAGAAAAAGCATCAAAATTATAATCAAAATTATAATCTTCTGTGATGATGATTGTGCACTGTGGCATGCAGTTGTTAAAAGAATTTAAAAATATACAAATACAGTTGTGCCTCCTTTTGTCACATAGGGGTACAGCAAATTAAGAAATACACTTCCGCTAAAGGATGAACCTAGAACCTTTTATTTGTATTAGCCTTTTCTTCATATGTGAGTTTTTGCTGGAGCAGAGAGACACTCAGTGCAGATAATCATCAACCACACCCCGAATAACTAATACAGAATGGCAGTACTGGGTCAAACTGGCAAGTCTCAGCCAGGTTCTTATAACCAAGGTAAAAAAAGCCATGGTCTATCTGGTTAAAATGCAGAGATGCCAACAGAAGATGTTTCCTGGTTTTTTAATCTTTTTTTTCCCTTTCCATAAGAGCTGTAAAACCACTTCTGACACTGGTTCCTGCTCACCCACTGAGCACCTTGACCAGGTTTAATAAGAGCTTTTATGGCCACATTAGGACAGAGTACACAGACCCCTGGCAGAGGAGCTGGCAAAGAGCTGGCATGGAGAGCTGGGAGCCAGGCACACACCAGGGAAAGGGAACTGCCATTCTCTTAGCTACTCCTGTGCTGAGAGATGCTGAGGAGCAAAAGAAGGTACTGTACTTTGTCCTTTACTCAGATTCTGGGAGTGGTACAAAGATAACTGTCATCTGTCACTTGGATTGCAGTTTATACACAGATTTCAGAATACAGAAAATTAAAACATAGAACAGAAGGAAAAAATACCTTGGATACAATTAGAAGGATATTTGCTTTCATGGTTTAAATTATATTTAGCTTAGTTTTTAACCCTTAATTTGAAATGTTCCTGTTCCTACTTTATATGGCTTGCTACCTACACGGAGTGTATGTCTGAAGTTTGTGAGGGTTGCCATGGGATTTCTGGCTTCACTGCTTCAAAAGTCATTATCTGCAATTTGACAAAGCTGATCAACACTACTGCTGTATATGTTCATTTTCCCTTAGAAACATTGGTTTTATAGATGACCTTTATGGAAAACAATATTATTTCATCTCTGCTTTTTAATATGTCATCTCATTTATCAAATGTATTTATTCAGAACAAATAAACTGCAAGTCTGTGAAGACTTTCCTTTGTAGTCCCTCTCCAATAACACGGTTACAATGTTAGATTGTTCTAATTAATTGTCTGTGGTACAGCTATTTTATTTATTTATTTGTATTAATTTTAGTTTTAAAAAAATGGGAGATCAGAGCAGAATTGAGTTCCCTGAGTAATTCTAACCATGCAAATGTATTTATATATTATTTGTATTTATATTTTTTTTGGTTTGCTCATTCATTCTGGGATACATGAACATTCCCAATGTGATTGCTGACCACTCCATCACCATGCTGTGTGATCCAGAGTCCATGCAAATGAATGGAAAGACTAAAAGCTGCTCTGCTGTTCTAATACAAAGTCTCCCAATCTAGCAACATTCAAATTATATTAATAGTATTTAAGGAAAATTTACTCATTGTAAAGAAACTAGAGCAGAAAACTATAATCAGTATCTTGACTTACCCTTATATTTGGTGGTGACCACAGTCTTTCTGCCATTTTTTTCTAAAAGGTTGGAGAGTGATTTTTTTTTGGGGGGGGGAGCATTTTCCATTGTCTCATTTTAATTATCTCAGCTGTTTTTCAGCAGCTGCAACACGTGTTTAGAAGGGAAGCAATAAAATCTTAATTATAGGGCAGTGGAACAGCTACAAATGCATATTCTACTGCTACATGTTCTCTGGAAGAATGTAATCAATTCACACTGTTTTTGAATGATGTTTCATATTGTGATCTTGTAAACAGATCTTAAAATAGCCAGTTTATAAAGAAAGCTAAATCTCTATAATTAGGGGAGCTTTTCTTTTTTTCCCAATTAATCCTAAAAGAAAAGGTGGAGGCTGGAGGTACATCAGCTTTGATTTTGAACCCCCCACTGAAGTAAAAGAATGCTAATAATTTGAAAGTGGGTTTGGGGTATTTTTAAGAAAAATGTACAGCCATTAAACAACATACACAGCAACTAAATGTGGTATGTCAGAGATGAACTTAAAATGGTGTTTCTGTAATGCCAAATCACCATGACTTTGTTCATATAATGATCAGTGACACATTGTTTTGGGTTTCAGTAAGAAAACAAGAAAACAGAGTTGACAGAATTCAGCATTTTCTAAATTCATTTTGTACCATATCATTTAACAAGTGGCTAGTGGCTTCTGATCCACACTGTGAGGTCCTGTTGAAAGCTCAAATCTCTTGTGAATTGAATTATAATTCTGGGTTTTAAACATGCCACCAACTGAGGGTGTTAATGTACCATCCACAAAGAAACTCACCTGATGTTTCATTACAACAGATTTTGAGAACAGTTGCAAATCCCTTGCTATGGAGATGGAACTATAGTATATTCAGAGCATATTTCATCCTTTGTAAGGAACTTTGAAGAAGCTGGGATTAATGGATAAATCATAGTTGTAACAGCTCTATTCCAGTCTCTACAGCAAAGTAATTAATATTGCCTAGTGAAAAAAACCAAATTCTAAAGTATCACGAGTTTTACTTTTAAAGTCCAATGGAATTACACCAGCCCTTTGCTCATCCATTTTGCAGAGACATAGCCACTGAACACAGGGGCTGAACATTCATGAACATGGAACAGCTCTACCCACAAGCCAAAGTGGCACAAAGATGCCACTGAACTTCGGATTAATGAGGCACAGCTCCATTTTAGACTGTAAAGTCCCTCTCTCCTTTGCCACTTGCCAGCAAACCTGAGCACAGCTATCAAAAAGCTGATCAACAAGCTTGGAGTTTCCATATTTGCTACATATGAGTGTCATTTTGTGTAGCAAGTGCTTCTCATCATGGTCTCCCATGTCATCAAACTTCTGATGAGGCTCCCTGTCCATCTTATTTAACACTTCCTTGCAAGGATAACTTCATAAGTACGTTAATGACCAGGGAAAGAAAGTATGTCTATTTGGGGAATACTGTGTCTTTTTAAACCATAAATGATGCTCTCAAGTGAACAGAACCAAAACTATTAGAATAAACTATAAATTGTTTTGCCCAGTGTCTGCAGGTTGTGTAGGACACAATCATATCCCCACCCTGTGGCAGAGGGCAAGAAAAGCTTCTCACTTTTCTAAGTCTTCAACAAAATACACATAGTAGGAAGGAGAAAGACTGTCAAGTCTCTTGGCCTTTTCTGTTCTTAAGTTTTATCATGTACTTCTGCAGCATATGGGTATAACTAATTACATTTTCTGAGCAGATGTGCAAGAGATGGATTGATATGCCACGGTTGGTAAATGTCCAATGAAGAGGCGACTGGTGTGCCCATGACAGATTTTGTAAATGAGACATTTACGGAAATGATGAATGTAAAACATTTCATTTTAATGTGTTACTCCTGAGGTTAAAAGAAGCACAAGTCCATTGTCAGTAGGGAAAAAATATGTAATGTGTCTCCATTTCCACTTTTAGAAAAATTATTTTTTTCAAAATCTGTTTGGAATATGTTGAGATTTTTTAACTTCTTTCTTCTCTCACATTTTATACTTACGTTGAAAAAGAAAGGTCAACAGGGAGGGATTTGGAAGGAAAAAATAAGGTTAAATTCCTCTTTGGAGGAATTGGTTTTGGATTGGTTTTGAATGTTAAAATGAAGAGTCAACTGATAAGACTAGTGAGAATCTGTACACTATACACATGAGCAAAAGAGCAAACAGGGAATTAATGTTGTTGCTACTGGATGCAGTATGCCAGAGCAGATTTGACTGACCATTCAGACATGATCAGTGGCATGGCAGCTAATGCTGCTGAGTGCATACCCAAAGCACAACAGAAGCCTTATGGATTCTGTCCTCAAGAAATATAGAATCGCCTTGTCCTAATTCAGTATTAAGATGGTGAGAAAAGACACTTTGCAAAATAAAAATAACACATTATTTTGATATTTAAAATGGTATTTTTCTCCAAATGTTACGACCCTTTTGTAAATCAGTACTTCTGATCATGTAATTCCCTTAGCCAGATCTAGGTATGTTCCCACCTGGCTAACTCTAGGGGGTCTTCTTTTTGTTTTTAGACAGAGCTGAAGGAGGTTGGAGAAGTTTGTGTATTCTCTGTAGAGAACTACTAAAGAGGAAGAGTATTTGCCTCTTGAAGTGACTCATAGTTGTCACCATTTTTATTTCCCCCCATTAAGTCTCTTCATTATTATTCACATATCTCAAATCTCTGTATTCACCTTCTCCAATTTTCAGGTGGTTTTCCTTCATACTTAATTTCTTTCTTCATTTCAAAATCCTTGATTTCCCTCTGACACCATGTAATATTTATTATATTAGTGCTAAAGCTGCATGAATAATTTATCAACTATTTTGCTGCTTTTCCTATTCATGTATGGACCATAATAATTTAATTGAAATATTCATTATTTGAAATGTGTCACTGAATAATTTGTGCAAATAATTTTTGGCCTGTGTATTGTTCAGAGGTGCAACCAAAAACCCAAGTGGCAGAGCCCCAGCTTTCATCCAACTGTCCCCTGATGGAAGCTCTTCTTATCAAGTGTTATCCAGCACCTGCTGATAATGCCCCACTTGCAACTGGCTTTTTGAAAATACTCCTCAATCTTCACAAGTTCTGATATAGAAAAAAATACCAACCAAAGAAGGGCATATTTTTTAGGCTACTTGAAAAGGAAGGGCATTAGAGTCAGTGGTCAAAGCAATCTCATTCAGCAGTGAGTGCTACCTACAGGGAGTTTGCTGCTTGTTTAACTACCTGACAGGCTGTCATGCTCTCTTCAGTGGGTTACTCCCATTGCTCCTCAGCACCATGGAACAGCAGCAGTTACATCAAGTGACAAGTTCCTTAAAAGTGAAATGTTGTATGTATAATTTAAATTCTTCACCATGAAGAGGCACTGGAACAGGTTGCCCAGAGTTGTGGATGCCCCATTCCTGAAAGTGTTCAAGGCCAGGCTGGATGGGGCTCTGAGCAACCTGGTCTAGTGGAAGGTGTCCCTGCCCATGGCAGGGGGACTGGAACTAGATGATCGTTAAGGTCCCTTCCAACCCAAACCATTCTATGGTTCTATGATTCTACATTGCCAGAGATAACATTGATACCAAGAGCAACAACAGTACTGAGGTTTCCCTTGCAGCATCAATGCTGGCAGCAGTGAGAGGGCAGCACTGATCCTGGAGTGGAGATGCAAATTAGAGGCTTCACTTATATTCAGCCAGATATATTTTTTCAGCCAGCAGCAGCAGCCAGGGTATGCTGACCTCTCACTGTTTGCACAAATGAGGGATGCCACACTTTGGGGAGTGAGGGGCTGGGCTTTCAGGAGTTTGAAATTTAGTGGGATCAGGAGGTCACGTGCCCCCGTTCCCCACCTGCAAGCAGCTGGGTTTGCAATCACTGTCTGTTCTCATCCGCACAACGGCCATTTCCAAATAAGCATCCTAGACTATAAATCACTCTGTTAATGTTCCCTCTGTTCTTCAAGAAAACCTCCTAGTACAAACCGCCCCCTTGTATCTCCAGCTTTCAGCTCATTTCTACACCCTATAAAAAAGTGCAGGACTTTCTTGGCTACTTTGGCTTCTTGGTGGGAAAACTGGTGCCAAAGATAAATAAATAGTGGCAACAAATTTTAGTAGTAGCATAATTATTTTTTTCCAGGCATTTCTGTAAACATCTATCTAAATATTGCAATTCCTTAGATTGTCAGCTTTCAAGGCCCAGGTGTGTTTCAGTTTTGTTGATAAAGCACTGAACAGAGCAGTTTCCGCTCTGAAGTTGGGACTCCTACTTGCTACTACCTCTGCACATGTATTTTTGGTATGTCCTAGGGTGAAAGCTATTTGTGTTTCTAGTAGGAGCAAGTGGTCATTGCAAACTCAGGGCTAGGTCCCAGAAAAGTGTTACCTACAAAATGCAGTAAAGCTGTTTGCAAAATACTGTCAGATATAAAAGTCAGATCTCAATGACATTTCTCTTGCAGCAAGGAGGCTGCTTTTAATTTAATTGCAAATTAAAAGTTCAATAATTTAATGCTTAATATTCCCA